ATCCCTCAAGAAGACCAACCAAGCACTTTGGGGCAAGCTGACTACCCCTGGAAAGGAGGGTGATCTCCTTTGACTATAGTAACCCATACATGAGTTTTCCTTTTCTGATGGCAGGACCTTATCTAGCATCACTGACCAAGGGCTTACACTATGTTTGATTCACCAACATGGGGTACCACATAAAATTTCATCAAACCAAGGGAGAAACTCTATAACAAAGTAAAGGAATGGAAAGCAAAGGAGGTACAAAAGTGGGCTTGTGGTCATGGAATCAACTGATGGCCTTATGTACCACACCACCTGGAAGTTGTTGGCCTAACAGAACAATGGCACACTGTTGCAGTCACGCTAAGACCAAAACTTGGAGGTGACACCATGGAGGAATTGGCACAACCTCCAAAACAAGAGTAAATACTAATCCAATGAGCACTGTATGTGCCATGTTCCTGCCAGGTAGAACACACAGGTTTGGAGGCTCAGAGGTTTCAGGAGGGGTGGCCCAGGACACCACCACGCCCAGTGATCCACTTACGGAATTTGTGCCTCCTGTTCCCTTAGGGCTCTGCAAGGTTAGAGGTCCTGGTTCTCTTGTGGGGTGGCAGGGGTGGGGTGGGGTGGGGGTAGGGGTGGAGAACACTGCTACGGGGGACACAGCAGGAATCCTATTTAGCTCTAGGTAGGCACTTCAGGTTTCTCATTCCAGGTGAAGAGTAGTTGGTGTCTTGGCAGGGGGGCCATGACCCTGCTGAGTAGGAGGAGACAGGGCTGCTGTTACACAGTGGGGGCAGGGAAGAGTATGCTTGGCACTCAAATGATCTGTTTGAGCATCTGTTGGTACAACTTGCTTAGCTTTGATGGCGAATGGACATGTGCAGCTGCCACAGTCTGAGAAATCTATGGGGACCAAAGGCTCCAGGATCGCTTGCAGATGAAGGAATGGATCACCCACCAAGTAAGCCACTGAGACCAATACAGGTGCTAGCTGGGGGTGAAGGGTCTGCTTCCAGAGAAGTCTATCTAAGAAAAGAAGTCACAATAAGAAAAATAGTTTATATAACCTGCTACATACATACTTACATAATAACCCATGCCACATAAGTAATGGATATTATATAAGACACATTATGTTATAAGGCAAATATAATAGAATAAAGGATATGGTCTTATATAATACATAACACAACATATTTTAGTTATATGGTATATGCATATGTATCTAGAATGTATAGTAGTATGCATATATAACCGGGATGAACATTCCAGTAAATAATTACCTTTATTATGTACAGTGCAGTCTTACCTTCTTATTCTATTTTACTCCCTTCCATGAAGACACACATATACAGAGGAATTGCATAGCAAAAACCATTATATAACACATGCATTACATAGTACATGTCATTTATAATCTATACTCTCATTCGAACAACAGTCTCACTAAATAATTCCACTCACTATGTACAACAGGCTCTGTTATTTTCTATTTTCATCTCTCCTACTGCATGAAGAAAGGGAAACACTCATGACAAGCCAGTAGATGAGCCATGAGTTGGAAAATGCTGGAAGAAATGACTTCTAAAAGGGGACGATGGGTCTTAACTCAGAATTTGCAGTTTTAAACCATGGAGGAAGTGAGATGCAGGAAGGACTGAGGGTGGAGAAGCTGGGTGGGGAAAGGGTGCGATTCTGCTTAGGTGTGCATTCTGCAACAGACCTAATGGGATTTTATTCCAGGCTGAAATTCCAAAGCAGGTGTGGTTTTGAGTGTCTGCAAGTTGCCCACCCTGGGCCTGGTGGACACCAGCTCTCTCCCTTTGTCTATATCTCCTCTCAAACATAGTAGACACTTAGGTAAATACCTGCAAGAGAAGACTGGAGGAGATAGGGGGTGGGGAACTTCTGGGATGCAGAAGGGGAAGGGAAGAAACTTTCACTGAATTCAACAGGTGCTCAATAAATGCTTGCTGGGCAGCTTAGCAAAAATGGAAAGCACTGGAGCTGTGATTATGGAAAGGAGATTAGATTTGTCAGTAGATAATACAAGGGGACTTCAAAAGATTCGTGGAAAACAGAATTTAAATATAATTTTATCTTGGTGCAAAATATTTTGAAATCCATGCCAAAGTTTTTCATAACATGAATTTCCCATGAGCTTTTTGAAGATCTCGCATATGCATGGATTTCAACATTTTTGGCAAATGTCTTTCAGTACCATTTTCCAAGAACTTTTTAAAGGACCCTCATAAATGCTTGAATAAATAAAGGAAAAAGCAGCAAGGAATTTCTGGCAGGAGGGCCATAGTGAAAACCGGGAGTCTAAAGGAGGGTAGTTATCAATATTCAGCAGGGTTCTCATTAACATTTGCTGACTTCAGTGGAACAAATTTAGCCTGGAAGGTAGCACTTTGGTGAGCAGCTGTTGGTGCTCAATAAATGCTTTGCAGATAGACAGAGTACAGAGTGAAGATGCCTGCTGCAGGGATGGGAATGTCATGGTTTGAATAGAAGAACTTAAGAGATCAACGAATGCTTTTGTGATTAATTGGGGGAAAGGGGCAGCCAGGGAGATGGCTGCTAAATGGGTGAGAAACCTAGCCAGAATAAATGGAAACTACACATTCTAAGCTTTCAGGAATGGGTAATGTGAAAGGCCAGATGGAGATTGTCAAAGGGGGAATTAGAATGCAAGAGGAGGAGGAGAGAAATTGAATATGGGGTTCTCAGTAGTATATAATAAATGCTCATTAAATGATTATGTGCTTGAATGGAGGAAAAGGTATAGAGAAGCCAGCTGGTGGTTGGGATTAGAAGGAAAGGGAACTGAATGAGTGTTCTTCCTTGTATATAGTACCGCTTAATAAATGCCTCCCACACTCTGCCACATGGAAAGTATTGCAATAAATATGAGTATAAAGGGGCTTCAAAAAGTTCATGGAAGATGTGTATTCTAGGAAAACTAGGCATGGATTTCAAGAGGTTTTTTTCCCACCAAAATAAGCTTACTTTTACATTTGACTTTATGAGGATTTCTGAAGTAGACTTGTATCTGTAGAATGAGTAACTGACTCTGGATAGAGAGAAAGGCTCCTTGGTAAGTGCTCCTGAGAAAGGGGTGCTCTAACCAGTGAACAGCCAGCACTCAACACATTTAGGCTGAAGCAGACCCCTGGAGAAGGCAAGAGCAGGAATTCCAGAGACTTTAACAGAGGAAGCTGAGAATGACTCATAACACATGTACTCAATAAATGTTTACTGGCTTAAATAGACTAACGGCTATTTGGAGTATGGGCTTCAGCCTGGAAGCGGGAATCCGAGGGCCACTGAAGACAGTGGGAAAAGGAGTAACCCTTATAAACTGGGCTCTGGACTTATCACATGAAAGGACCTTGGAGAGAGGTCTTATGATCGGGGTGGGCTCTGCTGGGGCAGTAAAGGAAAATGGGCCCTGCCTATGTACTCATTGGATACTCTGGAAGAAAAGGACTCTGGGGAGGAGGTGTGGGTACACACAGGGCACTCCTTAAATGCTCATGGGAGCCACTGGAAGAAAAGGCCTTTTGGGAAGGAGAGGGGCTAGTTATGGGCACGCAACCACTTGATAAATGGTCACTGAGTCCTTGGAGGACAAATTCCGTGGGGGAAGAATAGGAATATAGAAATTTGATCTGTGTAAGCATGCTTCTCCATCTATGCAAGGAAAGGTTTCTGCAGAGAAGGCACAGAATGAGGCATAGAGCTGGTATTCCGTAAGTACTTCAAAGAACGACTAAAACGAGAGGCCTTCAGAAATAGTGATTGAAATGGTGCACACAGAAAGTGCTAGATATCTGGGCACGGGACTAAATGGAGGCAGAGGCTTTTGTGGAGACACCTAAGGTTGAGTAAGGCAGAATGTGCTCAGTATGGCTGACTGAATTCACTGCAAGAAAAGGCATTGGGGAAAGGACTTGAGGATGCAGTATACAGCAGGCATCCCATATGTGCTCGCTGAATAGTCATATATCAAGAGGAAAGAACCTTTAGAAGGGGCTCACATTGCAGGCAGTTGATCAATGCTAGATGGATCCACCAAAGGAAGGCTCTTTGAAGAAGCAGTTTGACAACGGGAGATATAGGAAGTACTCCAAACATTCTTTCTAGATCCACTGTAGGAAAAGGTCTTTGAGGAGAGAGTCTGATGATGAGTCACACAGAGAAGGCTCAAAAACGCTCATGGAACTCACTGGAGGAAAATGATCTGTTTGAGAAGGGGTTTGGGGATGGACACACCTGAGGCTTATATTAGATGCTTCTTAGTTCCTTTGCAGAAAAAGGCCTTCAGAGAGAGGGCCTGGAGTTGGGGGACACCCAGAAGGCATTCAATCAAGACTCAACGGGATCCATTAAAGGCAAAGCTCTTGGTGAAAACCTGGGCACTCAATCAATGTTCACTGAATGGTTTGGAAAGGTCTTTGAGGAGGGGCCTGACGTGGGACACATAGCACAGATTGGATACGTGCTCACAAGATCCATTAGCGAGAAGCCTGAGGGCAAGGGTTGAGGAGAACAGGACCCGTATCAGGCTTTCAAAAATGCTCGCAAAATTCATTGAACTCCAATGCCTTGGGGAAGAGCTCTTCGAAGAGGCATACTGCAGGTACTTGATAAAAGATCCTTTAAAGGGTAAGACCTTTGGGGGCAAGAGTTGTGTGGGGGAGGAAGGGTACATTTGGCTCTTGAAGCTCATAGGATATATTGAAGCCAAAGGATTGGGGGGAGGTGGATTGGGGAAGAGGTACACAGCAGGTGCCCAATAGATAACTGCTCCTTCTATCCATCGAGGTTGGAGGGCCAAGGGTGGCGAGCAGAGGAAGAACCCAGAGTAATGATTTAGGGAGGAAAGGGATTTGGGCGAGGGGGCCAGGTACCAGACGCACAAGTGGCGCTCAATAATTGCTCATTCACCGTGGAATGATATGGGGACCCAGGCCCTTGGGGAGACGTCCGCGGCAGTGGCTTACCAGTCGGTGTGCGGCTCGTCGATGACCAGCAGCACCCTGGCGGCGGCGCCCCCGCGGCCTGCGCCCCCAGAGCCTCCGCCCACCTGCTCGCTGAAGGTGGCGGCGGCAGCCGCTGTGGTCTGCTTGACCGCGTTGGACAGCGACGAGAAGAAGCCACCGCCTCCTGAGGACCCAGGACTAGGGGCTGCCGGTGAGGCCGCCGGGGCGGCTGCGGAGACCCTCTCGGCAGTGGCAGTCGCGGAACCGGGCGTGGCTCCGGGGCTGGCAGCAGAGGGCGGCGGCGGGGGCGGCTGCGGGCGCTGCAGGTCTGTCATGTACCCATTCGGCAGATTGGCCATGAAGTTGCTGTCCGACAGGCGGCGCCGCAGGTAGTTCATGGCTGCGGCTTGGGGCAGGGGGTCCTAGGGGCAATCTGGCCAGCAGCCGCGGGGGCGGGCCGCGCGGGGCTCAAGAGCACAACCGCGCTCTCAGGCACGATGCGACTCCTCTGATGCCCGCCGCAGACTGAGGCAGCGCTGACTCGCTGCCGCCGCAGCGCGGATGGTCGCGCCCGTGCCTCCCTATCTCACGCCTCGTATGGTGCAGGCCAGCTTGGCCGGCGGCGGCGCGGACGCGACCAAGGTGGCCGAGAAGGGGAGTTTGCGGAGGAACAGCCAGTGACGTCAGCGCGCCTTGAGTGCTGGGGCGGTGGTGGCGCGCGCCGGCAGGCGGGGGCGAAGGCGCTGTCCGCGGTGCTGAATCTGGCAGTGCGCACGCGCCACGCCGCATCTTGTTTCCCCTCCCCCGCTTCCAATAGGGGATGCGCAATTTGGGGAGTGGGGGCGGGGTGCTTGTGCAGAGGGTCGAAGTTGGTCGTCTGACAGGTCCCACCAGACCACCTCATCCTGGTCCTCATACCTACTCGCACCTATACGCAGGACCCTCGCAGATAACTCGGTTTCCAGTGTTGATATTCACTGCAGAAGGCTTTTAGGGGTTGGGGGTGGCTGGTAGAGACGCACTGAGAGACATAAAAGTAGAGGAATAACCCCCTCACTGAGAAGGTTGGCGGTCACACGCAGTGCCTCATAGGGAGATGCGTCTCCCACGTGCACACAGCCTCAGCAAGGCAGAGAGAACGGTGCTGTGGTGTCAGACAGAATCAGACAAGTGGAGGTGGACACCTGGGTGCTGTATCTACACCCTTGTAGGGTGGGGGTTGGAAGCGCACAGGAAATGAGACACATATGTGGAGATACATATAAACACACACAAAAGTAAGGAAACTCAGAGGGTTGTGTACAGAGAATACACCCCTATCTAGATATATATACACAGACATACAAAAACAGTAACACACATGGACATGTTACATGCATGCACACAGGGAACACACTGATAGAGACCCAGGGAAACTCACTTGAGCATGCACACCTGGACAAAATACATACCCATAGATGATCACGGAGAAAAACTGTATCTGCAACACACATTCTCTGTGGCTCTAGCCTTGATGCATGTCTATCTGCTTCTGCCCACCACAGACTGGGTCTATACACTCCCATCCCTCTGATGTGGATACAAAGCCCATGATAAACACTGTCATCAGTGCCCATGCTGTCTCTCTTCACCCAAGAACTTTAACATAACAGAGGCAGGCCCATCCTTAGACACACAGTAGGTGACAAATAATGGTTGCACATGAGCAAATGTGGTAGTCCTGTCAGAGGCGGGATGTGAAAGCCACCCTGCCAAAACTATAAGATCGTGGTTACAATAAAAGCACAAATCCACAAATAATCATTTTTTTTTACTGACTATACACAACACTTAGCTGTTTACAGTTTCAGCCAACCCTCCCAACAATTCTATGGGGTGGATAACATAATTTCTATTTAACAGGTGAGGGCATCCAAGAATTCAGATTAATTTCCAAAGGATCCTGTTCATATTATGATCTATGTTTTTCTTTGAATAATATGCCAGGAAGAGGGATCAGTCGGTGTCACTGGAGCCCAGAACAAGGTGGGAGGAAGCTTGTGGTAGGAGATGGTGTCAGAGTGGTTAGCGAGGGCCTTGGTTAGGGCCTTGGCTATAGTAAGCAATGATGGTAGAGCAGGTAAAGTGATAGAAGATATGCAATAAGTAGGCAGATTTCGAGTCTCTTTTTCTGAAGGACTTTCAGGTAAATCACCCACTATTCATTTGTCCATTCTGTATTAAGTCATTGACCAGTTTAAACAATGCAGTAATAATGTCATAGTGCCTGAGTCCTATTACACCCTTGGGAAAGCAACTTCCCTCCTAGACTTGGTTTCTTCATCTATGAAAAGGGGGTGATTACCTGGCCCACTGTTAAGGAGAGGAGTAAAGGGACAACTTGTGTACCTTTTCATGTGTGGTAACCTCTGCCAGGAATGCCCTTTCTCTTCCTCTCGCAGGGGCCTTCTTTAGCCATGGTTTCCAGGAGGTCCTCAAATCTCAGATCCCCTGGGCTCCCACAGTTTCATAGTGTAACACTTCCCAAACCATCTTCTACTGTCTTCTCCAAGCCAGCCATTCTTTCCCCCTACCCCTTTCAATGATATCTTTTCTGGCATTCCAAACTCCTGCAGTCCCCAAATGGGAGAACTCCCTACAAATTGGGCATTTGCCCAATGTTTAGTAACAGAAACAAACAATTGTGCTGGGCCTGTGGTGACTTCTTTGGGGGACAGGGGCAGCTTCAGGTCTACAGACCATCCTGGCTCCTCTAGGCCTGGATTCAGGCTCCTTAGGATTGTCTTCAGACTATGCCTCTTCCTAGGGGCCCAGTTCCTAGGTTCCTAATACTAGTGATTCCAACGTCACTCCCTTTTTCCAGGCAGCTCAAATTCCAGATTTCCAGAAATTGATTTGTGGAGGAATGTAGACCTCCCAGGAATGTCTCAAGTCCAGAGGCTCTTCTGAACTGCTTCCATGTTCTTCAGCAGGAATGGCCATACAGAAGGGCTCCAGGAATGATTTCCTTTCTTGTGCTTTGGTGAGTAGAAACTCAAACACACACTCTGAATGAACATTCACAGTACTGTATTCATGTTTATAACTCACATACATATCCATGCCACCTTCATGGGCATGTGCACTCACACATCGTGATGATACACTTCGCACACATTCAATACATCCTAAATTCTTGTACAGCCCATGTACCATAAGCATGTCACACATACACACAGGTGTACCTTATCATACAGCCACAGCTGACCCTGTGCTTTCCTATAAACACACACCTCTCACAGCCTGTAGTAGCAACCAGAACCCCTTGTTTTGGTTCAGTCCTCCTGAGATGATCAAGTACTCACTTAGCTTCATTTTAACCCACCAACTGGTCCAATTTTCATAAGGGAAAGTCAACCCAGAGGAGTCAAGTGAAAGCACGGGCAAGACTCTGGGCGTACAAATCTCCCACTGGAACCTTTCCACCCACAGGGGTCCCTTTAACCCACAGCACAGAGTGCTGAACTCTGCACCTATGGTGCTTCAAAAATGTCCAGCTTGCTACCTTTCTGTGCCTGTTGCCTCCCTTGTGAAATGAAGATTGTAGTAATACTGACCCTCACAGGGTTGTTGTGGATTAAATGGGTTCACACAGTAAGCGCTTTCTAAGGATTAGCTATTACCATAATTATTATGCTAATTAGTGTGATGCATCTCATCACAGAGCCCCAGCATTCTGGAAGTGGCAAATGAATGAATGCTGAAAGTGTCGGCATCTGGGCTTGTTCTTCACTGTGGAGACACGTGCCGTTCTGATTCTTCTTCTTCCCTATCCCTCGTGATGTCTAGCACTATTGTTAGTATACAGTAGGCGTTAAGTGTCGAATACATGTGCAAGCGAAATACCTATTCTGAATTTGTTCTCTCACTTGAGATAATCCTCTCCTACCAGCCCTCCTCCACCCCAGATGCCCGGACACAGCTCTAGTATACAGCAGGTGCTAATAAGTGTTGAATGAGCAAATGCTAGAGGAACGTGTGTGGGGGTTTGTCTTGGAAGCTCTTCCAGGCAGATGCTGACTCTGGCTTCTCTTTGCCCCTGCTCCACCTCAGAGGCACATCACAAGCACTTCCTCGGCCCACCCCCCACCCCCCCCGCTCACCTCCTCCCCCTCCTCCCCCCAGTCTCAAGGAGCTATTTCTCGCCTTTAATTGCGGACTTGGAGCTGAGCTGTCGGGAGTGGGTGGATGCAGGTGCTCGCGCAACAGGGCGTCAGCCTTGGCCACGCTTCTGCAGCAGTTCATCGTCGATTGACGTGGAATCGACCAGCAGACAGGCTCTGCGGGTGGGAAGCTAGGGAGCTTTAGCAGGAGGGGAGATGGCACCGACCAATCAAGCAGTGCCTTCCAGGAGTAGCAGCCAATCGGGAAACCCATAACGCAGAGCTCTGCAGAGGAACGTGCGGGGTGGCCCTGGGGGAGCCCAGACTTTGGGGTTAGGACGGAGGAAGGAGGCTGGGGCTGAACATTCGCTTTCCCTCCCGCCAAGCTGCGGCACAGTGGAAAGTAGTTTTCCCCATAGGCTACTGTGACTGCCCATGCTGTGCCCTTTAACCTGGAAGATGCGACTACCCCACTCCTGCGGAAGGGGACAGATTGTTTTTCCTCCTTTAAGGAATTTTAGAAGAGCCCTCAGGACTGCTTTATTGAGGTCTGGGAGGTGAACGGGTCAGAGTGGGAGGGGGAGGTGTTAGGGCTTCTCCTCAGGGTCTTTGCAGGCAGGCACGTGCAGACATGGTCGTTTCTCCTCCACCACCAGCTTCTGCCCTTGCAGCTGCTCGCACTGTGGCCACGGTTTACCCCAGAAGGTGACATTCTTCTCGCCCTGACCTTCGACCAGGGAAATGGTGGGCCTGGGGTGTTGAGGAAAGGGGAAGGTGAGAAGCTTGTGAAAGGCAAAAATGCATTCGACAAACTCTAATGAGCACCTGCTGTGTGCCCAACACAATTGGTCTTCCCTCTGCCTCAATTTCCCTCACCTTCATCAGGTTGAGGACAAAAGAGCTGATTGTCGTAAAGTGCTCAGAGCAGTGCCTGGCACACAGTACGTGCTTAATAAATTCTGGTGCTTGTCACTCAGTGACATGAGCTATCTTCTCTTACCTCCAAAACCATTTCTCTCTCCCTTCTCCCCCTGCCCCGCACCCCAGGGAAAAAACCAAATGCCTTGTCCTGACATTCAAGGCCTTGTTGTTGGGCCCAAATTCTTGCCCCAAGCCAATCTCTTTCTTTCTCTCCTCTACTTAGCCAAATTCAGTCCCATGTATAGAAAGGGTGTTTCCTGGATTATTTCTCCCACTAGGCAAGCCCTCCATTCACTCCTACCCTGATTCTCTCAATTGATCAGTCTCCCACTCATTCAAATCCTTTGTGCCTCCATTCAACATCTCTACCTCACATTGAGGATGCACTCTCAACGCCACAGCTAGGAGATTATTTCCAAGATGGCAGGCCTTCTATGAATTGGAACAGCGCACTAAATCTAATAGCTTGATGTTTGTGGACACAAAGAAAGCATGAGTACCTTAACCCTAATACCTGGGCCGCTCTCGTCACCAGGAAACACGTGGGGCTGCCAATCTTCTGTGTCCAGAATTCTGCTTATAGTCTTGATGTGCAGGATGCCTTTCCTGACCCTCACGTTCCAGGGGGAGGTCTACTCAACTTCCTGGATCCATGTTGAGGTGGAATTCCCTTTCAATTCACCAATCATTCCTCATCTACCTTCTGTCAAAACCGTGCTCCCTGAGTCTCCTGGGGGCTCCACAGGATCTCGGTTCTGTCTACAACTATGGCTGAAAGGGCCTTGGAGGGCCTCAGGGCATGAGATGTGGAGTGAGTGAATGGAGGCATGGGTGAGGTAGGAATGAGTGAGTGGAGGCCTGAATGACTAAGTGAATGAGAAATGCAAAGCGTGGGTAACTGAGAGGTCACAGTGAATGGACACACAAAGGACTGAGTGAATGGGAGAACAGCTGAGGGACTGCATGAGTGACGGAGGGGCACACAGGTTAGGAATTCTCCTCCAGTATCTTCTCTTATTTAGTTTCTCCCTTCTTCCTGCAGTTGGGAGATGGCATCCAGCAAGGTAGGCACCTTAGAACCATCAGTGGAAGCCATGCTGGGGGGTACCCAACTCTCTAGTCTTCAATGCCACTGCTCAGTACACTCTGCCCCTTCACTCACGGGAACTTGGGGAGCAGGGCTGTGCAGAGCCGCTGGCGGGTCCGGGTGGGGCTGGGCCCACATGGGGGTGTGCACAGTCCCCAGGAACTCCACTCCAACCATGAGCCTTTCACTGCAATGAGGAGGAGGAAGGTCACGGAGTCCGAACTGGAGGCTGTAGGAACATGGGGTCCCCAGCCAAGAGCTGGGAAACCCTTGTCCCTGCAGGGCAACAGTGTGGTCTGTTGGGGCACTCACAGCGGCAGCGCTGGATGTTATAGCAGTGCCGGATGTCCTGGTACTCCCCAGCACATCGCTGTCCATCAAACTTGCGGCCCTTGCAGACCCTAGTGCGTCTCTGCTGGCCCGGGACTTCCTCACAGCTGATGGACTTCCTGCCGGGGCGGCTGCATTCACTCCACTCCCCCCAGGCCTCCCATTCTCCATTCACTGCAGGGTGGGGAGGGGGGCTCAGGTCAAAACAAGGAGCCAGCAGGGGAGTTCAGGGGAAGGGGTATGGGCTGCGGGAGGGAGCAAGGGCGATCGGATGTGGGACTGGGGGATCAGAGGTGGACCAGGACTGGAGGCACTGGAGGCAGGCATAAGACCCCAGGACCAGGCACTGGGCTTAGGCGTGGAAATGGTGCATCCTGAGGTGCTGACCAGGGCAAGGCACAGCTGTGTTGCAGATGTGGGTCCGAGTGGCATCACCGGTGCAGAAGGGGCCCCCATGCTGGGGCACAGGGTGATCACAGGTCCGTTTTTCAAGGGTCTTGCCCAAGCCGCAGGTCACAGAGCAGGAGCTCACAGGGCCCCATGGTCCCCAACCCCCAGCCACTGTTGGGGGAAGGGAAAAGGAGTGAGGAGAAAGGCCCTTTCAACCCTCCCTTAGCCCCTAGACCCAGAACCCTATCCACTGGAAGCGCAGAGCATCTGCACACTGTCAAGAGCTCCAGTGGCAGGGACCTTGTCCCTCTGTACCTGGGCAGGGTGGCAGGCCAGCGCAGCTCCGCTCTTCATAGGCTGGCCCTGAGCAGGGCTTCCCTGGGGGCTGCTTGGAGGGCTCAGGCGCAGAGCATGTGCGGCTCCGTGTTTCCTTTGGCACTTGGGGTCCACCGTGGCAGGAGCCTGAGCAAGGGCTCCAGGGGCCCCAGGCAGCCCAGAGCCCATGTGCTGTGGCGGGGTAGGGGGTGAGAGGTTGCCAATGTGGTTATGGAGTCCTGTCACCCAGTTGTTCCCTGCTGCCCCTCCACAGATCCACTCTGGGTGCCCCCGATAGGCTCCTGCGGCTGCGGGCACTCACTGGGGCAGACCTGCTTGGTGTCACAGGCCTCTGACTCCTGGGCCTCTCCTGGGCAGCGGCCCCCACACTTGGGGGCAGGGCGATCACATGCTCGCTGACGGGTCTTGGTCCCTTTGGAGCAGGTGACAGAGCAAGGCCTCCAGGGCCCCCAGTCAGACCAGCCGCCTATTTCTGTGGGAGAGAGGAAGGGGGGTGGCTGGAGGTAGGAGTGTCCACAGGGCTCCGAACTTCCTCATGTGCTCTCCGTTCACTGATCGTGTCTGCCCCTCCTTGCTCTGCCACCACACCCAGCCCATCACTGCTCTTCTGGACTGTGGCAGTGGCTTCACGCTGGCCCTTTGGCTTCACCCCATCCAAGGGTCTGCCCGCCTCCTATCCAAGTCAGATCACGTTTCTCCCCTGCCCAGAACTGAAATCTCTCAGACTGAAGCCGGCGTCTTCCCTGTGGCCTCCACAGGTCAGGCCCCTCTTGTCTCTCTGGCCTCACCTCCCGCCATGCCGGCCTGCTCTTTAGTTCCTACAGGCTTCAGGCCCAGGCCTCCCCTCAGAGCCTCTGCACTGACTATTCAGGTGGCCTCCCGCCTTGCTGATCCTCCTCACCAGGACAGCACGGCTGGTCTTCACAGGCCTGTAGCTGCCACTGGAGGGTGCCCGGAGCTGCCTTCTCAGAGCATGGCCCACCCTGGCCCACGCAGCGCCGGTGCCGCAGCTGGGAGCCCTCAGAGCATGTCACTGAGCAGGGGGCCCACGCAGACCATGGTGACCATAGTGGGGACCTGTGGGGGAGGAGCACACATGTCCCACCCTGTTGGGAGCTGATAAGGATGGCGTTTCGGATGCCAGAGTATGGGTAGGCCTAGCAGGGGGTGCCAGGTGAATGTGTACGGGGTGGATCAACGAGTACCTCCTTCTTAGCGATGTTGGGGGACTGAATGGCAAGAGGTGGGCATACATTAAGTGCCTGATAAATACCACTTACCTTCATGATCCGGGGCCTGGAGTTAACCTTGGAAGTCCCATCAGGACAATGCCAGGCACACAGTAAGCAAATATAAAGACCAGGACCTGGAAGTTCTGTCAGAGACCAACCAGCTCACCACTGTGCATGGGTAGACGGGGAGTGCTTACTACAAGGCATCCTGCCAGCGAGCTCAGAGGTCCCCTCAGAAGTACCCTTGACCTGTCCCCAACATACTCCATAGCACTGGCTATGGTGTTCATGCTATTAAACTGATGGGGACCGCTGCTGACATGACTGCCCCCACAGTCTATCTGGAATATTCAATAAGCATAGAAAATTTATCTAGAATACAGGAAGGGCTCAACACAGGTAAGCAGGAAATGATGATTAGGAGAGTAGAGTTACCCTCAGGAATCCAGAAGCTGCCTCCTCGCCCCTGCAAGCCATCTAGAATGCAGGAGGTGCTCAATGAACATGAAGTGGCATCCTAATTAGGGACCAGAGCCGCTCTCAGAATTCTCCAAATTCTTTCACCCCTATAATGTGTTCATTTACAATAACCACTCAATAAATATAACCTGCCAACCCAACTGGGAGAGCACAGCTGCCTTCAGAAATATTCAGGTTGTACCTCATTCCCCAACCCCCACCGGGCTTCCAGCATGCAGGAAATGCTCAATATATGTGAGCTATGGCAGTGATTCTAAACCAGGGGAGATTTTGCTCCCTGCCTCCCACCCAGGGGACACCTGGCAACGTCTGGGGCCATTTTCGGTTGTCACAACTGGTGAGGGGAATTGCTACTGGCATCTAGCAGAAGACCGACCAGGGATGTTACAAAACATCTCACAATGTACTACTGATCAGCAGTCTCCTGCCCCCCGCCCCCACCCCGAAACCTCATCTCCGCAAACAAAGAATTTTCTAGTCGAAAATGTCATTAGTGCCAAGGTTGAGAAATCCTGAGTTATGGTCATGATCAGGCTGCCGGGCCCAGCCTTCAAAATCCGAAAGAACCCAGTTCTGGGTCACCCCCAGCCAACCCTTTTGCCCACCCCTGCCCCCAGGCTCCCCCGAACCTGCATGCATGGCAGAGCCCACTGCCAGGCTCCTGGAAGGCATAGGCAGCATTGAGACAGCAGTGTTCCACACTGACACCTCCCCCTAGGAGGCCCTTGCACTTGCCGCTGGGTTCGTCATACTCGGTGAAGCAGACTACAGGATCCGCACCTGTCAACAGGGCAGGTGACACAGTCAGGGACGTGGTGGGCCTGGGCACCCCGGGGGGACAGCTGGGCCCTCATCCACTCACCGGTGGCTGGCAGGGTGAGCAGCAGCGGCAGCAGCAGCAGCGGTAGAGGGGGCTGCGCCTGGGCGGGCATGTTGAGCAGCACACGCCTGCGCCCTTGGCAGAGTGGAGGTCTGGCTGTATGCACCCTGGAGTCAGGCGGCAAAGAGGAATCTGCGGCAGGAGGAACTGGGAGGGTGAAGTGGAGGAAGGGAGCCTCTGCCGCGTTGACCTCCTCTGCTTCCTCCTCTTCTTTTCCCACCCCACTTCCTGCCTCACCCTTGGTCCTGTTTTGTTTGTCACCATATCCCCAGCACCTCTTGCTCTGCCTAGAAACCTTATAGGGTCCAATCAGGGCTCCCTGGACAAATTCTCAGAGGGGAGCCAGAGCACGAGTTTGGAGCAGGATGAACCCCGTGACCTTGGGCACTCAAACCTAAGTCTGTTTCCTTACCTGTAAAATGCACAACCCCTAGCACCACACTAGGTCCACCCCTAGGGAGTGCTGACCGGGGCTGAAAGGAGGGTGCCCACTGGTCGTGCCTCTCTTCATGGGGAGGTGGCCCCGAGGTGATTGCTTTGCCTTCCGCACAAGTGAGGTTCCCTGCGGTCGGCACAGGGGAAGTGAGAAGGGGAAGTGGTAGGTTGGTGGGGAAGGGTTTAGAATGGGGGAGCCTGGGGGATATCTACTGCCCTTGGGGTCCAGGAGGTATAGCTGGGGAAACTTTCGGGGCTTGAGGCAGGAGTGGTTAGGAGGCTCCAGCTGAGTACCCTCAGGCAGCTCACACCCCCTCCCCTGAACCTGCTGCCTCCCCTATAAAATGCGCACAGGGACTGCACCTGCATGAAGATTTTTTTAAGTCCTTGGGACAATGCCTAGTGTACAGTAGGTGCTCTGTGTTTATTAAATTCATGTGTTCAACATTTATTGAATACCTACTGGATGCCACATGCACTTCTAGGCATTAGATGGAAGAAAGAACAGGGCAAAATTTCTGGCTCCTGAGTGACTTCTACACTTAAAAGAGGAGACAGATAATAAAATGTCACCTCCCTCAAGAGGCCTTCCCCGCTGCCCCGGTAGCATCCCTGTCACTCTCCAGCCCAGTGACTCTCAAACCTTACTTTACATCACGATCATCCAAAGGGCTAGTTGAAAAATGCAGCCTGCTGAGCCCCACCTATTTTCCATTCAGTAGGTGTGGAGCAGGGATCCAGACTCTATTTGTGGTGCTGGTATTGTGGCACAGTGTCCCATAGCCGCTGCCTGAGGCCAGCATCCCATATCAGAGTGCCACCAGCTGCCCTGCTTCCGATCCAGTTTCCTGCTAATGTGCCTGGGAGGGCAGCAGAGGATGGCCCAGTCCTTAGGGCCCTGGCACCCATATGGGAGATGCAGATGGGGCTCTTGGTTCCCCTAGCCCCACCCATTGTGGCCATTTTGGGAGTGCACCAGCAGATGGGAGATGTCTTACTCTCGCTCACTCTCCGTAACTCTGCCTTTCAAATAAATACATTTTTTTAAATGTGTATTTCTAACAAGCTCCTAGGTGAGATTGACACTACTGTCCAGGACCACACTTTGAGAACCACTAGTCTTAATACTGACCTCTATTTTTCTGTGAGTCTCACTACAGCAAATAATTTTCCATGCCCCTTATTTTACTGTCAATAATTAGTTCCTCTTCAGCCCATCTTCCATGCAGGTAAAGCTGAGATTCACACATCTGCTAGCTGCTGTTGCTTTTTTTTTTTTTAAATAAGCCCTTATGAGTAAAATTCCAGAGATGGCTTTAAAAACAGAAATCTTTTTAATTAACAACAACAACAACAAAAAGAGCCTAAGAAAGTTAGGGAGGCAATGCCTCATTTCTTTGATATTCACAGAGAAAGGAATACAAATTAAAACAAGATAAAAGAAACTGGTCAAGCAGTAAAGCAAATCCCTCAAGAATCCTGCTCTTGTTTTACAGGTGATAAGGTGTGTGTTAACATTCGTATTCATTGCAGCTGTACTCTGTTCTCTCGTCATCTAAGCCTGTCTTTCAGAGTGTGCTTTGAACAACAGGGTCTTGTTAAGAGTCTAAGACTTCAGGTGTGAGTGCCATGTTAGCCTGTGAAAACAAAACTGCCCAGGAAACCTGCAATGCTGGCTGGCTGCCTTATATAATCGCTTGTTGCCCTGGTCATAATAATGTTAGAGGCAGTATTTCCTCCGTTCCTCAACTGTATATTCATGGGATCCCCTATGGAAGAGGACTGAGTGGCTGGGCAATAAAATAACTATGGGATCCCTTATTTAACCAAAGAGTGGGAGAGTCTGATTCCTGTTACCAAGTCACTGGCTGATGTGATGTATTTTCTTGTCGGTCTCATTAAATACCAGCTCCATAAAAACAGGGATTTGTGCTTGGTTTATTAACTGCTACGTCTTCAGGGTATTAGATGGGGACTAGCAAATAGTAGGAGCTCAAGAAAACATGTGCAGAATGGAACAATATGTGAAATAAATAAAATGGGGTGTGAAAAGGTGGCTTGAGTGAGAAGGGATAGGAGAGATAGAGGTTAAGGATAGAGATGCTGGTAAGTGCTAAGAAAGGTCTGGAGTTGGAGGTAAAAATTTGGGCAAGACCCGGGGAATAAGAAGTACTTCAAGTTCTGGGGAACTCCAGTGTTTCAAGCCTTGGAGAACTGGGAGGAGCTAGCCCAGGGGACTGGGCAGGAGGGGCCTGTGGAGGAAGAGGACAAACAGAAGAGGGTTTTTGTCCCAGGTCTGTGACACTCTATCCGTGGTCTCTTACACACTGTCCCACCTGGTCTTCTTTTGCTTCAAGTTCTCTTTTTAGCTCTACACACACACGCAGTGGATTTGTAGCCTCTACTGGAGTCTTTTTAGGAACAGCCTCACACCCGCACTCAATCACCCAGCCTCTCAGATATTCGGTCGGTCGGTCGCTCACTCCTCAGAGTCATTTTCTGTCACTGAGCCCCGGGCCCACTGCCGTCTCCCCGAGCAGTTTCAAAGGTGCAATCCTGTCTTACAGCCTGTCTCATTTGGCCAGCCCCGCCAGTATTTTCTCACCAGTTCCTCTCACGGAGTGATACCAGCTCATAACATGTCACAGCCATGACCATGACCTCACCTGTGCCAACAGTCACTGATGTACAGTCCCCGCTCATTTCTCATGAAGTTTCTCTTCTCTCTCTCTCTCTCTCTCTCACACACACACACACACACACACACACACACGGACATCTTCTCTACCAACCCTTCTCACTCAAGCCGTTTTTTTCACACCTCACAGCCCCTGGGGTTGACTCCTAGTCTCCCATGAGTTTCACCTGTGGAAACCACCACATGGTATATCAGACTCCATCTTCCTCACGTCGTCTCCCAGTTCTTCTCGGTCGGCTCTGAACACAGCTGGTGCTGACTTAGGGACTCGGATATTAAGGTCTCCTGCACCGTCTTACACACACGCACACCATCATGTTCTCTGATGCTGGCGCAGTCAACCACCTGGTCTCACCAGCATTCTCCCTCAGTCTGCTCCTGTTGGATGCAATCCCAAGTTCAAAATTATCACCAGGCTCTTGGTAAGACTCACACAGTCAAGTTGTGCACACCATCTTTTTCCTCACACTCTCACACTCTATCTCATACTCGTGTGTGTGGATTTCAAACATTTTCTAATTTTATTTTTATGTATTTAAGAGACTGAGGTCGAGGGAGGGAGGAGCAAGAGTGAGTGAGCCCGAGAGCTTCCATCTGCGAGTTTACTTGCCAAATGCCCGCCAACAGCTGGAGCTGGACCAGGCCAAAGCCAGGGGCTAAGAACTCCATTGAGGTCTGTTTCGAGGGTGGCAGGACCCAAGCACATGCTGCCTCCCAGGGCATGTGTTAGCAGGAAGCTGGAATCGTATGCAGAGCCAGGACTGAAACCTAGGTGCCACAAGCAGTGCTCTAACCACTGTGCCAAATGCCCACCCCTCTATAAAACTTTTTTTTTTGACAGGTGGAGTTAGTGAGAGAGACAGAGAGAAAGGTCTTCCTTCCATTGGTTTACCCCCCAAATAGTTGCCACAGCCAGCGCGTTGCGCTGATCTGAAGCCAGGAGCCAGATGCTTCCTCCTGGTCTCCCATGGGGTGCAGGGTCCAAGCACCTGGGCCATCCTCCACTGCACTCCCTGGCCACAGCAGAGGGCTGGCCTGGAAGAGGGGCAACCGGGACAGAATCCGGCGCCCCGACCAGGACTAGAACCCGGTGTGCCGGCGCCGCAGGTGGAGGATTAGCCTAGTGAGCCGCGGCGCCGGCCTAAACTTTCTGAAGTCCCCTCATATACATGTGCACAATTCCAGCCTCATCTGGCTCTCACATAGCCTCATCACATGGGTGCTCAGCGTCTCATTCACTCTCATTTTCTCAAACTTCCTGATTTAGTTCTAGGAAATGTTTCACTCACACACACATTCTCCAACGCTGCTCAGTTCTCAAATTTCCCTCCCCAGTCACTGACTTCCAGATAGTGCTTCTAGTCCCTGCCCAGTGGTTCATGTCCTCTCTCACACCCTTTCAGTCACTCAGTCTTACCAGATCCTGAGGCAGACTGTAGCAGGAACTGTCCATCCAGTTACCACTAGTCTCAGGGTCACACAAGACTACCTCTTACACTCTCCCTATCACGGCCGCTCGTTCTCGGTTTCCCAGCCTTCAGCCTTTCATGAACCATCCTACACACACACACAACACGATTCCTGTGCCTTGGGTCTCAGCCATCTACTGGGTCTGGGTCATGCTCGCTTCTCACACGTACGCTGCTTCCGGGACGTCAGCTGCTAGTCCAGCCTGGCACTAACAGTTGCACACTATTCACTCCTTTCTCAGCATCACCTGCTCACATACAGTGAGGTGTCTCACCTACACATGGGCCCTGACAGTCCCTACCCGTTTCCTGCCCAGTGTCTTGCTCATCAGACTGTCGGATAGCGTCTGATCTTCGGTCCTCACTCCCTTCTCATAAACTATTTCGTACACACCATCACAAGTTCTTATACAGTATTTCAAAAAAAATAGTGCCATCGATAGATTTTATGAATAGCAGACATATACGTAAAACAATTTTTATTCATTTGAAGACAGAGTTCTTCCATCTGCCAGCTCACTCTCCAAATACCCACAATGGCCAGGGCTGAGCTGGGCTGGGCTGGGCCCGGCACACAATTCAGGTCTCCCAAGTGAGTGGCAGGGACTCAATTACTTGCTTCCAGGTTGTGCATCAGAGGAAGGCAGAGTCAGGATTGGAGGTGGGCATTGAATCCAGGTATTCCCAAGCAGGTTGCAGGCATCCTAACCTGGGCCTAATTGCTAGGCTAAGCACCTTCCCCCTGTCAGTATCTTAATCACTCAGTCTTAATGAGTTCCCACATAAACACACTGTCAAAAAAGTCTGTGGTCACAACTTCTGCTCTCCCTCCCCTGTCTCACACACACAATTGTAGCTGCCCATGTTTCTTACACACAGTTGCCAATTTGTAGCCTCTACTGTTTTGGATACCTGATGTCACTGTCATTCTCATTCTCTCTCTGTCAACCTCTGCCCCACACCCTCACGGCCTTTCACACAAAATCATGCCTGTCACATTCAGTTCCGACAACATCAGGGAAAAGAAATGGCACCAGCCTTCAGCAACACCTTTAAAAATATATATTTACAGGAACAATTCCCCATTCTCTGGGACTCTTAGAAAAAAAAGGTCCATTTTGGGGAAGTAAAACAAACAGTGGAGACGAGTGTAGCACCGTCCCCCAAATCACCAACCCCCAGGTCCCCAGGCCTGGGCTGGGCTGGTGCTGATGGGAGGTGAGCCCAGGAGTTTTTTGAACCCACCCTCTCCAGCCTGGAATTGAGACAAGACAGGCTTTATGTCCCCCATTTCTCCCTCCCAACTCCAGGGACACTTAGAGTCCTTTGTACCCGCCCGCAGGAAATTGGGGGGCTGGGAGGGAGCTGAAAATACATGTTTGGTATCAAAAATAAACAATTGGGGGTGACAGGAAGATCCCCCCCCCCAAAATCCCTTCCTTCCCACCCACCCCATCAGATATAGGAAGGGATGCTTCCCTCTCCCCTATTGAAAAGCCCCATTTAAAAATAGATTATACTATCAAAATGGCAGGGGTGGGAGACAGGGAGACCTGGAGTACTGGGTGGAGGGGCCCCCCAGACGGGGACCACCCCCCAAAAAAAACCCTCCATTGGGAGGTAACACGCAGGACCCCAGGGAGGTTGGCAGACAAAGGAATGGCTTCTCAGGGGGCAGAAGGACAAAGGGGCATTCCTCCCTGGCCACAATGTTGGTTGAAAATAGGACAAGCTGAGAGAAAGGCTCAGGAGGTGGAAAATCCCATTTCAAAGGTGTGATTCTTGCTTGGTCAAGACTCCTAAACCATTAAATGGTACAAATTCTTCCTGGATCCCAGATACGGCCAGGAATAATAAAACAAAACTAGCTCTTCTACCCACATCCTAAAATGGAGACAGGGCTCCCTCACCTCCCCAAGGGTAGGCTGAGAAATAAATAAAGAAATGTCCATCTCAAGCCAGACCCTGATTGTCTTGTCTTGGCGAAAAAAAGTGGGGACATGGGGGAGATGTCTCAACCACCCCTCTTAAAAGGGTTGGGCCAGTCTCCTCCCAGTGGCCTTCAAAAAATAAATAAATAAACCGCCCCTACCACTGAAGTAGGAGACGTGTCAGGGCGGCCACTGGGGGACTGACAAAGAAGACAGAAGTTGTGTGTGTTTTGTGGAAGAGTTAGTGCGAGATCCTTCTTCCCAAGAATCCCCACCCCACCACAACCAGAGCATGAGTCTGTCAGTTGAATTATGCTTCTCCTTGAGATGGCTGGCTGGAGAGAAGTTCAGGGGCATGGATGGAGTGACCCCAGAAGGGGGTGGTAGTGGTGGAGGAGGTGGTAGTGGAGGAGGAGGAGGAGGAGGAGGAGGAGGAGGAGGAGGAGGTGGTGGTGGTGGTGGAAGTCATGGCTTCTGAGGCCCTGGGGAGAGCACCACGGGGGTCGAGAGGCCATCCACGCTGATGGAAGGGATGTGCACCTGGGCGCTGCCGCTGGAAGGAAACTGGGGGCAGAAATAGGGAGACGTCATGGATGGGGGCAATTCTAGGGTCTCTCACCCTCTCCAAGATGGGCGGAGGGGATCCTACCTGGAAGGAGAGCTTGGCCGGGCTACGGGGTGCAATGGGACTCAGGGTGCTCCAGAAGTGAATGCTGGGAGGCAGCGAGCTGGGAGTCAGCAGCACCGGGGTCTGCAGGGAAGGCGCAGTTGCAGTGAGCCCAGGGCATGCAGTCGTACGAAAATGGAAGGAACCTGATCCCACCCCTACCACAAATTTTCCATACAGACTCCCAAGGTCACTCTCCAAAAGTTCACAGACTTACACTGTAACTACTAAGGCCACGGCCATGACAACTCCCAAACTCTACACAGACACCCCCTCCCAGCTCCTGAGCACCCACCCCCAAGGATCTATCCATATCCTGCTCTCAAACCTCACAAAGCATCATCCCAATAGCTCAGGGTCCTCCAACTCTTACGTCCCACCCAGATACCTGAGAGGAAAGCCAATTAGCAAATACCAAAGAGCCCCACTCAGATTCCATAAGCCACGCCCCAATGCAGAAACAGTTCCCACTGCAGGGCGAGCAGCTGTCCCACAGTCCCGCCCACAAAAGTCCCCAGACCGGCCTTTCAATTCAGCCCCACCCCCAGCCAAGTTTCCGAGCTGCCAATCACACTCTAAGGCTCAACCCTCTTCAGAGACCACGGTCACCTGTCAGTCACCTGCCTAGCGCCAATCCCCATCCAAACTGGCTGCCAGCCCCACCTCGTTCACAGGCACTCACCAATGTATGAGTAGGTAGCAAAGAAGGCGTCAGCGCTGGCCCCGGTGCCTGCAGACCAGAGCCAGTTCCAGAGCCTGGGGTCCGGTCGGGTCCCGGCCCACCAAGCAGGCTTGGGCTGAGTGGAAGCTCCAGGTCCCGCGGCTTCCGGCCCTTCTGCGGCTGGGCAATTTCAGGGCTAGAAGTCGCCAGGCCACCCGCCGGCGCCGCAGTCTCCCTAACGACCGCGGGCAGCCGGGCCGGCCCGCCTTCTGTGGGAGGGACTTCCGGCTCAGCCTTGGTGGTTTCCGGCACAAACCCTGCCTCCCCCGCGCCTTCCAACTCTTCCTTGGGCCCATCCACTTTGACTTCTGGGGGCAGTGGCCGGCCCAAAGCAGGCTCCACGTCGAGCTCTTCCGATTTCACGTTCGGGACCTCGGGCGGGGTTAAGATGACCTGGGAGAGGGGTGGGCGCAGAGGGTGTAAGTAAGGTGGTTTGGGCGAAGCAGCTTTCTTCCGTGAGCCACACAGTGATTTCTCTGGGAAGGTGGGACTTGGTGCCTGAGGCATGACTGCCCGTAAGGGCGTCTTCCCGGAGGACACGGGACTTCTCGAAGGAAATGGGATTTCTGCGGAGGCAGGAGCCTGGGGTGAGAACCCCCACAGCCAAGTGTGACTGCTGGTGATGCCCTGCCCCGTCATGGACTAAACAGTGGTTCTCAAAAATCTATTTGACAGACCCAGCAGCGCTTGCCTCATCTGGGAACTTATTAAAAATGCAAATTCTTGGGATGGACATTTGGCCTAGAGGCAATGGCTGCATTCCATATCCGAGTGCCTAGGTTCGAGTCCCACCTCCGTGTTCAGCTTCCTGCAAATGTGCACCCGGGGAGGCAGCAAATAACAGCTCAATGTGTGGGTCCCTGGCACCCATGTAGGAAACCCAGACTGAGTTCCTGGCTCCGGGCTTTGGCTTGGCCCAGCCTTGGTTGCTGTGGGCCCTTGGGCAGTGAACCGCAGGATGGCAGCTCTCTCTTAAAATAAATAACATTTTTAAAAAAGGAATGCAATTTCCTGGGCCTCTCCCCAGACCCAAGCAATCAGAAACTCTGCAGGGGAGCCCCAGCGATCTGTGGTTTAACAAGCCCCTCCAGGCGGTCCTGATGAGCACTAAAGTGTGAGAGCCCGTGTTACCTGTAGGTAACAATGAATTGTAGCACATTTATTTGCCCTCTTCATAAGATTTGCATAGCTCTCCTCTCCGATCCTTTCTCCAAAGGGACTTTTTTTTTTTTTGTCAGGCAGAGTGGACAGTGAGAGAGAGAGAGACAGGAGAAAGGTCTTCCTTTGCCGTTGGTTCACCCTCCAATGGCCACCGCGGCCGGCGCACCGCGCTGATCCGAAGGCAGGAGCCAGGAGCCAGGAGCTTCTCCTGGTCTCCCATGGGGTGCAGGGCCCAAGCACCTGGGCCATCCTCCACTGCACTCCCGGGCCACAGCAGAGAGCTGGCCTGGAAGAGGGGCAACCGGGACAGAATCCGGCACCCCGACCAGGACTAGAACCCGGTGTGCCGGCGCCGCAAGGCAGAGGATTAACCTAGTGAGCCACGGCCCCGGCCTGGGACTTCTTTTTTAAAGATTTAATTATTTAAAAGGCAGAGTGACAGAGATGGAAAGACACCGTGAGAAAAGAGATCTTCCATCTGCTGTCACTCCCCAGATGGCTGCAATTGCCAAGGCCGGGCCAGGCTGAAGCTAAGAGCCAGGAACTCCATCCGGGTCTCCCACATGGGTGGCAGGGGCTCACATACTTGAGCCATCAACTGCTGCTTTCCCAGGCACATTAGCAGGGAACTGGATGGGAAGGGGAGCAGCTGGGGCTCAAACCAGTGCTCTGATAAGGGATGCAAGTGGTGGGTTTCACCGACTGTGTCACAATGCTAACCTCCCCAAGGGGACTTCTGAGTCCCTCCTTCCACCACTATCTCCAGTAGCAGGGCTTCTGCACCTCTGCTCTTACCGGCCACTCTCCTCAATTGGGAATTGTACACCCCTCCTCTTATCAAACTTCCATATTCCAGTCCTTACCTGCAGAGGCAGGCCAGCCTCCTCAGCCTCTAGGCAGGCCTCCAAGGGGGTTGGACTAGTGCTCCTGCTGCCGGAGGGGGGCGCTGATGCTCCTCCAGGGGTGGTGCTGGGGAGCACGGAGGCAGATCGGAGATGAGATGGTGGCGGTGGCTGTGGCTGTGGCTGCAGAGACTGAATGGTGAAGGTAGAGTAGAGACCGGAGCGCATGTACTCGTTCCGGCTGCTGCGTGCCAAACCACCTGGGCCTGCCATCCCTGCACCCTTGGGTGTGCCTGGCTTTCCACAGGCGGTGTCCCCAGGGGTGGCATGTACAGCAGCAGGGGCCACATTTGCCACGGCAGAGGCAACAGACACCTCAGGCTGGGACGGGCAGTCTTCGGTGGAGCACCCTGCGACCTCGGGATAGGACACGAACTTGTAGACAAACTTCTGGCCGCTCACCTTGCGGATGATATTCTGGGAAGAGACAAGACAGAACAGAGGGCCTTAAAGGTCAAGGGCGGGGGGAGGGACGGTGTGGCCGGGAGAAGAGAGGCTGGAGGGGCTGTCTTCCTCCTAGCACCTTTCTTCCTACCTGCCCCTATTTCACCCATCTCAATCGCCTGTCAGTATCTGCATCCCTTCCTTCCCCCTCCCCGGATCCGTCTCTGTATTCCTCCTGTTTCTCCCTTCGACAATGCTTTCTTTAATCTCCTCCCCATCCATCTCCCTCCCTCTTCATCTCCATCTGTCTGGTTTCCCAAGCTGTGCCAGCTCCTGTTCACAATGGAACCCCTCTAGGGGAGTATAGGTGCAGGGGTGTCTGCAGGTTAACAAGTTCAGGCCTATGGGGTGGCTGCTAGGACACAGACTTGGAGACTAGCTAATGCAATATAACAGCAAAATGAAGTGAGTGCTGTAAATGTTGGAAGAGATGAAATTAATGCAGATGAGTGGGATGACAAATTACCAATATAGATTATTTAATGCTATTAACATAGAAGTGGAACAGGCCGAGGTCCATTACAGAGGACAGGGTAAGGAGGCCTCATTAATACTACCTGTGGGGGCAGGGGTTCAGTGGAGCAGCTTAGAAACTGGTTGGGATGCCCACATCCCATATAGCGGTACCCTGGTTCAAGTCCCAGCTCTGTTCCCAATTCTAGTTTCTTGCTAATGTGCAACCTGGGAGGCAGTGGATGATGGCTCAAGTAGTTGGCTTTCTACCACTCATGTGGAAGACAAGGACTGAATTCCTAGCTCTCAGCTTCAGTCTGGCCTGGTCCCAGCTGTTGTAGGCATTTGGAGAGTGAACCAGTGGATAGGAGCCCTCTCACTCACTCGCTCGCTCTCTGCCTCTCAAATAAGTAAAAAAACAAAAACAAAACCAAAAAGACTGTTGTGGAGTTGTGGAGGTTTAAACCAAAAGGGCAACAAAATGAAGTAACTGACAATTAGGAAAGAACAATAAAATACTGGTATAAATATTGGGGGAGGGGCAAGTATGTTTGAGGTATTTCAGGACAGGTCCGGTCTGGAGAGTTTCAGGGACGTTCTGGGGTCTCTTAGGCTACAGTGAGGTAGCCCCACTGTTTTGGAGATCTGGGTTAAAGGAATAAACTAGGAAAGTGGGATAAATGCTTCCAGTGACTAAAGGGTGTGACACAGGTCTGTGGCTGTTCCGGGAGCAAGAGGAGTCTGGGGGTACTAGGCAGTCTTTTTCTGATTAAAGATTTATTTATTTATGTGAAAGGCAGAATTAGGGAGAAGAGAGAGAGACAGACAGACGCGTTCCATCTATTGGTTCACTCCCACAAATAGCTGCAAAAGCAGGACTGGGCTAGGCCAAAGCCAAGAGCCTGGAATTCCGATGTGGTGCCACGTGGCTGGCAGGGGCCCAGGTGCTTGGGCCATCTTCCGCTGCTTTCCTGGGTGCATTAGCAGGGAGCTGGTTTGGAAGTGGAGCAGCGCCCATATGAGATGCCAGCATCGCAGGCAGTGGCTCAGTTTGCTGTGCCACAACGTGGGCCCCCTGGTGAGGTCTTTGTGCTGATCAGGCATGTCACGGGGTGGGCTTGTGTTTCTCAGAAGAGGAATGAAAAAGAGTATTAGTTTACACTGTTTCAAAGGCTTCTTCTAAATAAGAAAATGAGATGCATGTTATAAATATTAAGGAGAGAAGAAAAGTAGTGCAGCTCAGAGGGTCTGATAGGATGCAGAAAATTTAAAATTCCAGCTATGACAATAAGATGATGAAATAAAACAGTTGATACGGATATTGGAGCAGACCAGTGTTGCTTTGGGAATCCAAAAGGATGGTGTGTGGCGCTGACTTTACATATGCTGCTTCAGAGACTTCAGTGAAAGAAAATAAAAAGTATGAGGGTCCCAGAGAACAAAGTAAGAAAGGTTAGCATAATATTTTCAGGGAGGTTTTGATTCCAGGAATTAGAATAGAAAATATTTTAGAGTAAGAGAAGATTATAAAGCTTTTAACCAAAGCAGTAAAACAAGAAAATAAAATGAGATTAAGTTAGTCTGAAGGTCCCAGAGAAAGGGTTAAGAAATAATACATTTTAATATGATGTTCAGTTATACCATAAGTTAGACAAGAGAATGACACTTGTGACCTCAATGTCAGAGGCCTTACCTTGTCATAGTAGTACCGCAAGGCCCGGCTGAGCTTGTCATAATTCATGTTGGTCTTGTTCTTGCGCAGCCCCCACAGCCGGGCTACCTCCTCTGCATCCACCAGCTTGAACTCACCACCATCCCGTGAGGTCCAGGAGATGATGTGGCCATTGCCTTGCTCTCTCAGCAGCTGCAGCAGAAACTGCCACAGCGTCACAGATGGGTCCATCGCTGGGGCAACACTCACGCCATCCCAGGGATACCTGGAGGGCAGAGAGCTCAGAGCTGAGAAGCTGGGGACACAGGAGGAGGCAGAGATGAAAAGGAGGATTCCTTTCTTGTCATCTTGTCCCTACCGCTGTCTCCAAACGCCACTATCTTTCCCCTAAGCACCATCAGATTAACTTTTAAACATCTCCGTCTAGTTTTGGTTGTCTCCTGTAATGGGCCAAGATTTATGGTGGCTCTTAGGATGGTGTGAATGTTTTGCACGTAGCAGAACGTGGTAGGCAGAAAAATGCTACCTCCGATTCAAAGAAGTCCACATCCTAATTCCAGAACCTGTGACTGTTATGCTATATAGCAAAGAGGAACTGTGCAGATGGAATAAGATTACAGACTCTAAGATTATTCTGTTGTTTTTTTTTTAAAGTGAGCTTTTAAATACAGAAGAGGGGGGGCTGGCACTATGGCACAGAGGGTAAAGCTGCTGCCTGCAGTGCTGGCATCTCATAAAGGCACTGGTTCAAGTCCTGGCTGCTCTTCTTCTGATCCAGCTCTCTGCTACGGCCTGAGATAGCAGTAGAAGATGGCCCAAGTGTTTGGGCCCCTGCACCCGCATGGGAGACGTGGAAGAATCTCCTGGCTCCTGGCTTTGGATAGGCTCAGCTCTGGCCATTGTGGCTGTTTGGGGAGTGAACCAGCGGATGGAAGCCTCTGCCTCTCTCTCTCTCTCTCTCTCTCTCTCTGCCTCTCTGTAACTCTGCCTTTCAAATAAATCAATCAATCTTAAAGTCAGAAAGGGCCCTCAGCGGGCAGCCACTAAGGAAATAAGGATCTTGGTCCTGCAACCTCAAAGAGTTGAATTCTGCCAACAACCCCAATAAGCTGGAGACGGATTCTCCCCCTAGAGCCTTCACAAAGGATCACAACCCTGCCAACCCCTTGACTTTAGCCTGGTGGGACCAGGGTTGCACCTCTACAGCACTAGATCATAAAAGCATTGCCTTCAACAGCATTGCCCGTGAGCATCGCGGCAGGAAGACTAGGGCAGTCCCCCTCCACTGAACCTTTTTGGGATCTTCTACCACATCAATGTCAAATTCGTCGGAAGGTCTCTTTTGCCAAATCCTCTTAAAGCTGGTCACGTATGGGGCTCTGCGCCTCTGTTTAGCAATTTTCCTCATCTGTCAAGTCCCCGCTTGGAGGTCCTTTAGGAAGAATCTTCCTGCAACTGAGGACCTGCTCTCCCTTGTTTCTGTCCACATTCTCCTCAACAGCAACAACTAACATGTTCTGAGTACTTACACATGTCAGGCACTGCTCCAAGCAAAGCAGCAATATGGCCTACTGGACAACTGCCCAGGCGCTAGGCTCAGATTGCCAAGGTTCGAACCTTGCCTTTTATGAAGGTACTTCAAGCAGCTCACGGAAAAATGAAATTAGGTAACTTTATTTTGCTGCAAAGAGTTTTTTGAAATACATGTATAGTTTTCATAACAAATATTTTCCATAAAAATACTCACTTTTCATCTCATCCCCCCCCCCCCAAACTGTGTGAAGTATCCTATTAGCTGTGTGACCCTGGGCATATTCTTTTAACCCCTTCCTACTTCAATTTTCTCATATCCATACAACAGGGATAATAATAGTGATATCTTGTTCATAGGGTTATTGTGTGGGTACAATATAATAAGCCTGGGGTATAAGCTCTAAGTAAACATTACTTTCTGATTTGTTCATAATTTCTTATCTCAATATCCCAAACTCCCAAAAGCCCTAAAACCAGAAAGCTTCTCTGCAAGTATTTTGGCAGCAAAATCTGATGTGAAAGGCAGTGAGGCCCTTTTTGGTCTTTACGGAGCCTCACTCAGCATCAACCACTGGCCGTTGTGCTGCAGAGATACAAATGTAGCTGATGCCAGAGCTTACGGAGGGTATTATGTAACACATCGCAAGTGCACTATGTTACCTTTCGAAAATCTGAGACTGTGAAACATAGCTGGCCCCAGGGTTTTGGATAAGGGCATGCAGACCTGCACTGTTATATTTTTATAGATACTGACTCATTTGTCCCTCATCACAAGGCTGGGACCTCAGTCCTCTTAGCACTGTTTTACAGACAAGGAAGCTCAGGCACAAAATGGCTCCGTAACTTCCACAGGCCGCAGGCTGTAAGTGACAGAGCCAGCAGCGGGACTCAGGTGGTCAGGTTCCAGCTGTGTAGGCTTTCACCCCTCAGGTTGAGCTGCTCCCCCACTCCTCACAAACACTGCCACCTCTCAGCAAGGTCCTTCCCAGAGCGGGCTCCTCCCTGTGAATCCATCACTGCTCTTTCCCAAGGACAAACTGGAAACAAACATGAACTTCCTGTTCCTAAAGGGAATGAACTTTAATCTGTTCACCTGGCTAGGATCACTGGGTTAAGACAAAGTTTTGAAGAGCTTCCTGTTATTGTTGATTGTTTAATCTGCAATGAAATATACAGCATGATCCTCTTCTGTCTGACCTGGTTCCAAGTTCATGCAGCTGGCCGTCTTGGGCAATTATACAAGTCACAAAGCCACGCAGTGTGGGATTGCAGAGTCCTGTCATCAGAGGCCTCGCCGAGTTTGTTTGGACGGCTGACTTGTTTCAGAGGCCCAGAGAGGTTAGTGTGACTCCTAGTGGCGAACAGAGGCAATTTTCCCGGTTTCTCTTCCAGACCCTAGCAGTTCAGTGGAATCAGCTGGTTGGCTTCCAGCCTCAGCAGCACACAGGGCTTTGTATTTTGCTTATTATCACTTCTCCCACTCGACCCCTAATAAGAGCTCTAGTAATCTGCCTCACTTGGATGTGTTTACTCCTCTTCATCTCATTCATCTTCAGCAAGCATGGGAGTGCCTACTACGGACTTGGTGCTAGGGACGCCAACGTGAGCAAAACAGACCAACATTCTTGCTCTAGAGGAATCTGCACTTGAGTGCGGCAGACAGACAAGTAAACAAGGCACACAAGGGCATGCCCGATGCTGATGCAGGCTATGGGGGAGATGTGGGCAGGAAAGGGCATGGGGAGTCAGGAGAGGGTGGTTACGACCTAGGAGAGGTGAAGGAGTTGGGCTTGGGGGAGCCTGGGAGCAATGAGCCTGGCCAAGGAAGCAGCCAGTGTGAAGAGCTTCGTAGCTGAGGGTGCTGATGGGTTAGAGGGAGAGGAAGGCAGCCAGCTCGGGTGGAGGGCAGGCAGTGAGGGAGGGGAGGGAGCAAAGGATGAGAACGGAGGGACCGGGGGCACAGAGGGCTGACGGGTAACAGGATGCCTCTGGCTGTTGTGAGAACAGGTTGTTGCGGCTGTAGTGGCTCCTGCACCAGTCCGAGTGGACAATGGGTGAGAAGTAGATGGGTTCTGGATAAAATCTGGAGACAGGGCAAGTAGGATCTCCTGACAGGCAGCAAGGTGGGGCGGGGAGAGTGAGCCACATGGGTCAAGGGTGCTTTCAAGTTTGTGGTCTGATCACCTGCGAGGATAGCGTTGTATTCAACCGAGACTGGGGCACTGCAAGAGAGAGTGGGTTTTGTGGTACTGGAAGTACAGAGCACTATCTTGCCCCAAATCACACAGCTGGAAGCTCGTGGTGGTGGTGGTGGTGGGGAGACTGGGATTCAAACCCAGGTGACTTGGCTCCAGCCATCAATCCTAGTTACCCTACATCACCAGTCCTCTGTGAAGACAAACACAGAAGGGTTAAGATCTCAGCAGACAGCATGAGGGCTTCCCTGTGGAAGTGAAGTTTGATCTGAGATGGCCATCCTGAACTACCCACGTATCTCACTTCTGGGGACAGGCGCATGTGCTGTTCTGTCTGCCAGGAGAGTCCTTCCCTCACCTGATGAACTCTATTACACAATCATCAAGTTCCGGCACCTGCCAGGCAGGATGAATTCTTCCTCTGTGTGATTTAGTGCACCGAATAACCTGTCTGCTCTTGCAAATCTATTCTCTCTGGGTTTTCAGCCTTATACTCCTCTGCCATGCTCTCGCTGTGTGACCTTGAGCAAGCATCTCAACCTCTCTGTGCCTATTTCCTCATCTGTAAAATGGTAATACTTTATTCTCAAATAATCTGAAAAATATATTTATGTTAGCATTTGTAGCTAACGTGTCATTCTCCCTCCCCAAGCCTTTCTTCCCAGTCCTGCATATCACAGTGGCCTATGCCCTCTGGCTACTCTCATCTCCCTGACCTCAGGTTCTACCTCCTGCCCTTTTTTCCCACTACAGCAGCCTCCTTGATGTCCCCTGAAAACATAGCAGGCACAATCCCTCCTCAGGGCCTTTCTTCTGCCTGGTACATTCTCCCCGAGACATTACAGATCCTCCCCTCAGGTCCTTCAGGCCCTAACTCAAGAGTCATCTTCCAAGTGTGGCCTGCCCTTTGCCTAAGATTTCAACCACTCCAAGAATCTATTCCTACCTGCCCTACTTCCTGTTTTCTCCTTAGCACCTGTTTAACAGACCATCTTATTTCGCTTGTTTACACGGTCTGCCTCCAAGGGCATGGATTTCTGCCTGTTTCATTCCTTCTCATATCCCTTCTCCATTCTGTCTCTGATATCAAGGTCTGAAATTCTATTTTTCACATCTATTCATGCAATAAATTCTTACTGAGCACCTACTGTATACCAGCTACCTTTTTTGTGTGTGTGAACTGGAAACACAGCAGCCAATAAGCAGACAAAAAGCATAAGCTCTCATAGGACTACCCTTCTAATGGGGAGAAACAGTAAACTGGCCAGTGTCAGAAAGCAGAAAAGGGCAAAGGGACAAGCAAAACAGGAGAGGGGCCTGAGCTCTGCTAAGTGTGCAGGATCAGGGGGTGGCCAAGAGAAGTTGGTTCTTTTTTTGCTAGAAACAGCATTCTGAGCAACTTTTTGTAAGGCGTGTGCCTTTAAGTAGTGTATCCCAAGTACCACAGCATGATGGAACAGACTGTTTACTGCAATAACACGACCCAGATGAAACCAAGTTCAAGCGCTCATTTCTTATCTCTATTTTGTTGACAGGCAGAGTGGACAGTGAGATAGACAGAGAGAAAGGTCTTCCTTTTGCCGTTGGTTCACCCTCCAATGGCCGCCGCGGCCGGCGCGCTGCGGCTGGCGCACCGCGCTGATCCGAAGGCAGGAGCCAGGTACTTCTCCTGGTCTCCCATGGGGTGCAGGGCCCAAGCACTTGGGCCATCCTCCACTACACTCCCGGGCCACAGCAGAGAGCTGGCCTGGAAGAGGGGCAACCGGGACAGAATCCGGCGCCCCAACCGGGACTAGAACCCGGTGTGCTGGCGCCGCAAGGCAGAAGATTAGCCTACTGAGCCGTGGCGCCGGCCTCAAGCGCTCTTTAGAAGCTGCTTTTCCACCTGTGCCTTTAGGCGAGCTGGTATTACAGGTATTCGTTTTGGGAACGCATTCTTTTGCTAAAGCAACATGCACCTACCTTGTTCACATATAAACTGGCCTTCTCCGAAGCTGATTTTGCATGTGTCTTCACATAGTGTGTGCCATGCACCTGTGCCATTTGAACAGAGCCCTGAAAGGAGCCAAGCAAAGCTCCCAGAGGAGTGGGAGAAGAAGCAATGCAAAGGGCCCGAGGTTGGGCACGTCTACTGTGTCTGAAGACCAGTGCCGAGGTGGCCAGTGTACCAGGAGCACAGTTAGAGGGGGTGGGGTGGTGGAGGTCAGAGAAGTGACTTGTTTCATTAACTCACAGGTATTCTGTATTTATGCTGGAGGGGGTTCTAGTCGGTTCCGTCATTTTACAAATGAGAAACCAAGTGCAGGGAGAACATGATTAAATCATGCCTGTGGGGTCACCCAGCTAAAAGGACTGGGGCTGGCTGGGTGCTGAGACAAGGTGTGGCATGGAGACAGCTCTGCAGGCACCGGAAACGGAAAAAAAAAAAAAACCCATGGAGGTGGGAACTACTTTGGTTTTAAAGGAGTAGGGTCTCACACGGGGTGGGATGAAGTGAGAGAGGGGAGCTTCAAAAACTGTTCTGTGCCCCTAGCACTTACTGGGCCACCCTTGAATAAGGCATTTAACTCCCTATGCTCCCATTTCTGCAGTACCTATCTCCTAAGACTGGTGAGGACCGACTGAGTTCCCTAAAATAAAACACTTTGCCTGGTACATAGCAGATGCTCAATAAATGTTAGCTCCTCTTGGTATTCTCATCACCACTATCGCTAATGTATTCATTCATTGTGGTGGTGGCAGGATATCCGGGTGGCTAAGAGTGTGTACGAAGGAGAGTGCTCCACAAGGAAAGGGGGAGGAAGAGAAAAATGTACAGGCTAACCCTCCTGGGGGAGGTATGTAAGGCAGAGTGGGAATGCAAGAACACGGGGGTGGGGGGGCAGGAAGGCCATGGTACAGATACCTTACAGGGCTAACATTCATCTGCTAGCAGGGAGAGGAGTAGAAAAAACTTATTGACTCCTGTAGGAAAAAGGAGAAAGCCCAAGGACTGGAGTGGCAGTGTACAAAACAGGGAGGCCACGCAGGGCAATGGGCTGCTAGCTCGGGGGATGTGAGCCCAAGCCTGGAGACAGATGCACCGTAAAAAGGGAGGGCGCGTTGACAAGGCCATGCACTGATACATTAGGGGACTGGAGAAGGCAAGGACATACTCAGGTGGACTCACTGTTAAACAGGAGTGTGTATGTCTGTGCGTGTGTGTGTTGGTGGTGGGATATAGCGCCACGGATTGATTCGCTATGGGGAACAGGACGGGTGGAATAAACAAGGCCACAGAGGGGCCCCCGAAAGTTAAGGGTGCAAGAAACGCAAACACTCAGACGCACCTACTATTAAGGGGGCTGGACAATGCCACAAACTGGCTCTCTATAAGTGGGGGTGGGGGGTGGGGCAAGCCAATGGACGAGTCCACTGTAAATTGGGGTGTGGAGAATAGAAGCACGCAGACCGATCCATTATACCGCGGAAGGGGGACGATTAGGCCACGGTCAGATCCACTATAAGAGGCGAAGGGAGGAGAGGGCATGTCATACGCAGGTCCACCAGCTGTGGTGGGGCGGCAGTGGGGAGTGGAACACTAGCAGGCCACGGGCCAAGCCACATTCCCCGCGCGGGGGCGGGAAGATACATGGGGTCATGGACAGGACCCTCCACCCTCCAGGCCGGGGCTCACCTGTGCGTAGCGCTGCAGTGGCGGTGGCGTAGCTGGTGTTAATAGCTCCGGGGGGCGGGGGCTCCATACGCGGCCCCACCGCCCCCCAGGCCCGGGTTCCGAGGCGGCGGCGGCGGTGGTGGCGGTGGCGGCGGCAGCACCTAGAAGCCGCCCCTGCGTTTCCCCACCGCTCACGTGGGCCTGTGGAGGAGGAGCCCAACGTCCCGCCGCTTGCTGATTGGCTAAAGAGCCAAGGCTAGAACGCACGGCTTAGGGGCTCAGCGGGGCGGACCCTGCCCCACAGAGCCATTCCGTGATTGGCCGAAGGAGAAATGATGTGCGCGGACGGACACCCAAGTCCCGAGGCGGCATGCTAGCCCTCGCCGGTGCTCCACGCTGATTGGCTCAAAGAGAACCGACAGATCGTGGTTAATTGATAAGCTTGGGGGCGCCTGCCTCACACTGATTGGCCTAAACGGAATTGATGGCAGACAGACAGCCCCTAAGAATGGCGGGCGCGCGGGCCGGGGTGGGGTGCGGTGCTGTTCTCCGCTGATTGGAGGATTAGACTCCTAGACAGCTGCCAAAACACCAAGCAGGCGGTGCTGCACGCCACGCTGCTTAGCGGAAGCAGGACTTGTATAGAAATGGGCGTAGCAGCCAGCCGGGCTCTGCGTAGGCGGGCAGGGTAACTCTATAGTGATTGGCTAGAAGGGACGAATTTAGAAGGGAGCGGGGGTAGGAGGGCAGGATGGCTGCCAGACTCGCAAAGGAGCGTTGAGAAACTAAGTGCTCACAGAAAAGACAGGGTCAAGCTGTGGCTAGAGTTATTAAGGGGGCGGAACCTGGCTCTGTGCTGACTGGGGGGCTGGACCAGGGAGGGCAGAATTTGGCTCTGCGCCTATTGGTGGAAACTGGAAGCAGAGGCCAAGGTTGGGCTGAGCCTGGCGTGGGTGTAATTGATGGTACCTGAGGAACGATTGGGATTTGGAAGAAGGGTTAAACCTTAGGGCTAGGAGTGAAAGGCTGATTGCCATGGGAACAAACCTCCACCCTGAACCTGTCCATTCTCCATGGCAATTCAAAGGGCGATAGCCAGTAAAAGGAATGCAAGGAAGGGTGTGTGTGTGTGAGGTTGCCATGGTGACAGAGAGGGCAGAGCCTAAAGTCAAGTAGCAAATGCTGCCAGGCAATAGGCCGGAGGCAGGACTTCCAGGGTGCTTTAAAGGATCCATAGAGAAACTAGATCTTCCAATTAATGCTGGACTCTGGAAACAGGGTGCCTTGGCAACCCGCAGGAGTTAGGGGGAAAAAGAAGGGCCATGTGACTCAAAGGCATTCAGGATCTTTAATGTCGGAGGATGCGGTAAGTAGTCAATGGTGAGGCTTCTCTGGGAAATTCTGCAGGCCTTGTAGTTCTCTAAGCCCCTGAAAAAAAGGACAGAAAGGATTTAACAAGGGACGGGTCCAGGCCCCACCTCAGGCTTGCTCTGACCTCCCCGCCCTTGGATCCAGTTTAGAAGGAAAGATGGTCCTTTCCTTCGTCGGCTCTCTCCCTTCTTTAGGTCATCACCCTAACCACATCTGGACATAGAGGCTGGGAGTGGAGTGAGCTGCTCTCACCTCTAGCAACATGTGGATATGGGCCTTGATAGTCATGGAGTCCTTGGTGAGGCTGTTGCTGAGCCTGGAGAAAAGAAACGAGAATGTGCAAAGTGGGCCCCACTTATGAAGATGACCCTTCCTCATCACTTCAAGAACTACCTACATCTGGGATGACTTCCACCCATCTGCTGTGCAGAGATGCCTGACCACAGTCTGGACCTGATCCAAGGATTACCAAATGTCTAATGTATGCCAGTTTAAGGCACTGGGGAGATAGCAGCAAACACAACATACAAAAATCCTGCCTACACGGGGCTCAAATTCTTAGAGACAAATAAATGATGGACTAAAATATATGGTATGTCAGATGGTTCTAAGTATAATGAAAAAAGGAAGCAGTGATGGAGGGAAAGTAGTATGGGAGTGGGAGCTGCCATTTTTAATACAGTGCCTAGGGACAGCTCCATTGAGAAGCATTTGAGTGAAGCTGTAAAGAAGCAAATAGTGCTATATGAAGGCTGCACGGTGTTCCACACAAGTAGCAGCAAATACAAAGGTGTTGAGGTGGGAGTGTGCCTGGCATGTTTGAGTCACAGCTAATAGGGCATTGTGGCTGGAGAAGAGTAAGTGAGAGGTACTAGAAGAGCTGAGGTCAGGGAGGTAAGGGGGTGGGTGCAGGGAGTGGGAGGCAGGCTGTGTAAACCTACAAGGCCATGTTAAAGAGCCTGGCTTTTCTGCTAAGTGAGCTGGATGCCAGGGGAGGGCTGTGAGCAGAGGAGGGAGGTGAACTGAGTTGGGTCACAGAGGATCCATTTGGATGCTGTGTAGAGTGACTAGGGATAAGGAGAGTAGTGTGGAAGCTGGAAGTCCAGTGAGGTGGCTATGGCAATAGTCCAGGTGAGCCATGGAGGATCAGACCACAGTGGCTGAGAAATGACTGGATTTAGGGTGCATTTTGGAAGTAGAGCCTACAGGATTTACCAAAGGGTCAGCTGTTGGGTGTGAGATAGGACGCTAGGAAGATGCTAAGGCTTAGGCACCCTGAATCTAGAAGTGCCTAAACCACCCTGGCTCCGGACTGCTGGGATACATAAAATAGTAAATTCCTTTTGTGTGAGCCAATTTGGATCAAGTCCCTCCTGAAATAATCCTCACTGATACAAAGAATGAGAAGGAACTGACTGAGAAAGAATTAAGCAGCAAAAGGGCCCAGAGGCAGGAAAGAGTTTTTTAAGGAACAGCCAGGAGATCAGAAACTTAGAAATTAAGTGAACAGTGAAGGAAAGTGGTATAAGATAAAGTCCAAAAAGGTAGGAAAGGCTAGATCATGCATATAATGAGAAATGTGGATTTTATTATGCTGTCAATGGAGCAGTCAGTTTGAGGGGAAAATGAATCTAAGTACTGAACTAAAGTACATAGTAACAAGATAGGCTGTTACACTGGAAAAAATAGGATGAACTCATCTGTATGTCAATACCTCACACACTTTGTATTTCCAGCCCAGACCTTTCCTGAACCGGACTTAGGAGTTTTAACTCTATCTTCAAAAAATCGACTTCTGGGGCCCACCCTGTGGTGTAGTAAGCTAAGCCTCTGCATGTGGCACCAGCATCCCATATGGGCGCCAGTTCGTGTGCCGACTGCTCCTCTTCTGATCCAGCTCTCTGCTATGGCCTGGGAAAGCAGTGCAAGATGGCCCAAGTGCTTGGGCTGCTGCACTCAGGTGGGAGATCTAGAGGAAACTCCTGGCTCCTGGCTTCAGAAAGGTGCAGCTCCAGACGTTACGTCCATCTGGGGAGTGAACCAACGGATGGAAGGCCTCTCTCTCTGTCTCTCCCTCTCTGTAACTCTACCTCTCAAATAAAACCTTTTCAAAAATCGACTTCAGTGTTCACTAAGCACTTCATACTTAACAGGCCTCAGATTGAGCTCTTGATCTTCCCCTCCAGATCTACTCTTCCCCTTCTCCTCTGCCTCAGATACTGGCAACTCCATTCTTTCAGTTGCTCCACCAAAAACCTGGACTCCTCTTTCTCACACCTAATGTTCAACCAACCATTCTTTTTAAAAACAAATTACAACAGCTCCCATCTATCCAAATGCTTCTTTAAGTGTTCTTTCTCCATAGCACTGCTAACATCTGACTTACATTTGTACTTCAAAAAGTTCATGGAAAATGGAAATGAATGTTCATTTTGGTGTAAAAAATTTGAAATTCATGCAGTTTTTTCATAATATGCATTTTCATAGATCTTTTGAAGACTTCTTTATTTTTTAAAAAGAGATTTATTTATTTATTTGAAAGGGAGAAAGAGAGAGAGAGAGAGAGGGAGAAAGAGGGAGAGAGGGAGGGAGGAAGAGGGAGAAAAGAGGGGGCAGAGGGAGAGAGAGGGATCAATCTTCCACCCGCTGCTTCACTTCTCAAATGGCCACGTTAGCTGGGACTGGGCCAGGCCGAAGCCAGGAGCCCAAACTCTATCTGGGTTTCCCACATAGGTGGCAGGAGTCCAAGGACTTGGAGCATCTTTCGCAGGCACATTGGCATAGAGCTGGATCATAGCTCTATGTAGAGCAGTCAGAACTCAAATTGGCACCCCTATGGGATTCCAGCATCATATGTGGCAGCTTAACCCTAAGCACCACAAGGCCGGCCCACTGAAGACTCCTTGTGTGCATGTATTTTAACTTTTTTTTGTACTAAAATTAATGTCTTTTAATTCCATATCCCATGAATTGTTTGAAATTCTCTCATACTACAATTTACTTACTTATTGTCTGTCTCCCCTGACTAGAATGGTCAGCTGTGTGAAGGTGAAGGCTTTGGTCTGTTTTATTCCTGTTGAATCCCCTGTAACCAGAACAGTGTGTGGCACAGAGTAGGTATCCAGTGTATGCTGAATGAATAAGTGAATGACTAAGCCACTCAAAGGAGCCTGAAGTCCTCACAAGGTAAGTGAGTCTATGTTTAGGTACAAAAAATGAAGCATGGTGCTGTTGCTAGAGAGTGTCAATACTTTCAAGGTTATTTGGGGTAGTGTCCAAAGAACAGGGCAATAAAGTTGATAAGATCCAAACCAACAGTTTTAATGTCAAAAAGGAGAACAGCGGCTAGCATTGTGGAACAGCAGGTTAAGCCGCCACTTGTGATGCTGGCACCAGCTATTTGGGCACCGGTTCATGTCCTGGGGGCTCCATTTCAAATCCAGCTCCCTGCTAATGCTCCTGGGAAAGCAGCAGCAGATGACCCAAGTGCTCAGTCCCCTGCCACCCAGCAGGAAACCCAGATGGAACTCCAGGCTCCTGGCTTTGGTCTGTCCCATCCCTGGCTGTTGCAGCTATTTGGGGAGTGAACAAGTGAATAAAAGAGCCTTCTCTCTCTCTCTCTCGTCCTCTCTCTCTGTAACTCTACCTTTCAAATAAATAAATAAATCTAAAAAAAGACAGAACAAAATTAGCTACTGCAACAATGAAACAAGCTTAGTCTATGAGTGGCTGTGAAGTTAACCCTTAAAAGGAGAAAAACATGAAGCTTACCAAATGCTACTTGTAACACAAAAGGAATATGTTTAATTTTTTACTACTGATGTAATATGTAAAGCATTGTTAACAGGAAGATGGTTAGGCTGTTTCCTCTATAGTTACATGTCTGTTTGCAGACGTGCACTCCTTTCAGGCTTAACAGGAAAGTAGATATAGAGACTTGCTCTCCTCCATCCCCTCCAAAATATACTAAGAACAGGAAAAACTGATGGGCAATTTTGCTTACATGAAATAACCACAAAGAATGTCCCAGATAGTTGATAGACTCAAATTTTTATCTTCTAGAAATATTAAACTTCTAGGCAGTCCAACCACTAATAATAAAGCAATAAGAGACTCAACCACATTTTTTATCATACTAATAGACCAGGTAAGGGGACAGGCACTGATAACTTATATACCTAATTTTTGAGAAATATAGAGTCTCAAAAACTTAAAATATATTTAAAAAGCCCAGGAATCTTTTGTAACATAAAAGGAAAGCTATGATATAAAGACTGAACTTGGTCTAAATGACTACCAGTGCAGAACTGCATTGACCATGGAGGCAGACTCCTTGATCAAACTATTCACTAACTGGTCTGATCACCAAGATTTAGACATCTCAGCAGGTCTGATATTCTTTTGAGTCCTGTAAAACAGAAGCCCAAGAAAGATCTGAAAAGAGAAAAATTACTGAACACCTAAGAGAGGCAACTCTGAAAGAAATTAATGTAGGAATAAGCATAAACATAACCAGGAAGAAATTTGACATCAGTGGTATCCACACTTGTGAGCTGTTGTTAGTCTAAGCCTATCACTCAGAGCCCTCACTCTCGTTCCATCTGAGCCCTGTTTGCCTTTCTTGGCAGTTTCTCCAGCAGGCCAGGTGCACTGCTCCCCTTGCTGGAAATGCTCTTCTCCAGACAGCCCCATGGCTTGTTCATTCAAATAACTCAAATGGAACCTCTGCTGGGCAGCCTTCCTCAGCTGCATTTCAAACCCCTCACCTATATACCCAATTGTCCTTCCTTATTCAACAACTTAAAACTCAAATGGAGCCCACCCTTTCTCTCCCCATCACCACCAACATAGATCTGTTCCATTCACTGCTTCAGTAATTCATTCAACAAACACAGAGGGTCTGCTACCTGCTGGGTAGTATTCTAATCACCTGAGGTCTAGACAAAGTTTCTCCCTTTGTAAAGCTTACATCCTAACTGGAGGAGATGATATGTATGAGTAAGAAATAAATTACACAGTAAATATTAGCAAGTGACAAATGCTAGGTAGAAAAGAAAAAAGAACAAGAGAGGGGAATCAAAGACTACTAGGGGTTGCAATTATATAGTTAGGTTATGAAAGACTTTGTTGAGGAAAACACATTTAAGCAGGACAATGGAGTGAGGAGAAAAGAAGCCACAGGAGTACTGGGGAAAGAGCACTGCAAGCAGAGAAAACAGCCATGGCATCTGCCCTGAGGTGAGAGCATTCTTGGGACATTTAAAGAAGCATGTGCAAGTCACTGTGGCAAGAGCACAGCAATGAGCAGGAAAATTAACAGGTGAAATTAGAGGTAACCTGTTTTACTGTTACTGATTTACAGGCTGAGGCCTCATGGATCCGGTCATAGTTGTATTTAGGTCTAATAATACAGTCCCTCTAGAATGTAAGCTCTCAAGAAACTCTTCTGTCTTGTTCCCTGGGGCATCTCCACTGTCAAGCACAGAGTGTGGTAAACAGAAGATGCCCAATATGTTTGTGTGAATGAATGATACAAAGCTCCCTTACTGGAGTGTTTATTATGTGCTATACCTGGGGCTGAACTTTGCATCCCCTTTCCTCAGCTCCAGCCCAGAGGAGGAACGGAGGTAGGTCTCTAACTTAAGGGAGAAGAGTGTTGAAAATGGTGGGGTGTTGGGGCCAATGCAATGGCACAGGTCAATCCTCCACCTGTGGCGCCGGCATCTTATATAGGCACCAGTTCTAGTCCCGGTTGCTCCACTTCCAATCCAGCTCTCTGCTATAGCCTGGGAAAGCAATAGAAGATGGCCCAAGTGCTTGGGCTCCTGCACCCACGTGGGAGACCTGGAAGAAGCACCTGGTTTCTGGCTTTGGATCTGCGCAGCTCCAGCAGTTGCAGCCATCTGGGGAGTGAACCAACAGAAGGAAGACCTTTCTCCCTATCTCTCCCTCTCACTGTCTGTAACTCTACTTCTCAAATAAAATAAATAAATTCTTTAAAAAAATGGTGGGGTGTTTTAGATACTACCTTCAAGAATGCACTTACTGTGTGAGGAGTGAGCTCTTACGATCAATGAACTTGAGAGCTTCTGCCAGTGTTAATTCCAGGAAAAAACCATATCCCAGGGCCACATAGATGCGTGAAGTATCTGAGCTGAGGAGAGAGAGGTTAGAGGAAGTGGAAGACATCCTTATTACTGTTTATCATACCATACAGTTTAGTTAATTTTTTACTCCCTCCCCTTCCCCAAATTGAGACTCTGGGAAGACAGGGACTTTATTCTATTTTATTTCTTGTCATATTCCCAGTACTTAGGTTATGTCCTAAGGTATGTAAAATCTAGCACAGTGTTTGGTACATAGAAGATGGTAAAAAAAAAAATATCTTGCATGAAGGAAGGGCTCAGAAGGGCGGGTAGACACTCACACCACTGTGTCAACGAAGAAGTTACAGCCCAAATCCACCTGCATATATAACTCCGATTGCTTAGCTTCCTGTGGGGCCAGGGAAAAAGAGGTAGGGGTCAGTGGTCAATTTGTAGGTCAGGTGACAGGTTTTGGTCTAGGGTCTCTCTTCTCAGTTCCTTCCCATGCTCCCCCCATCACACACATACCAAAACCAAATGAAAAAAAAAAAAAAAAAAAAAACAGTACCCAACCATGATATATCTACCTGGAGTCGTTCAATGACATTTCTTAGCTGAAGGTATTTGGCCAGCTGCTCATATACCTTGTCTCGATGGTCCAGCACCTTTCTGATGGGACAAAAGTACAAATGGTGACCAACAGGCAGCTTTGTCCTCCTTGGGAAACCTTATACCATGATTCTTTGAGGTGCTCCAGTTACCATGCTCTAAGTAGGCCTTTTAGTGTAGAAGTTAAAATTCTGGACACTGGGTCAGACTGCCTGGGTTTGAATCTGGGTTCTACCCTTTGCTAGCGGTGTGACTTCACTAAGTAAACTGTTCTATATGCAGTTTTCTCATCTACAAAATAGGAGTGGCATTCTAACCTCACGGAGGCACTGGGATTAAATGAATGTTTACTATAAGACACTTAGAATGATGTCTTCCAAATGATAAGCTTTATATACGTGTTAGCTCTTACTATTATTACACTTTACTCCCAAATGTCAATCTCTATGTCTCATCTTCACCCTAGAAAAATCCTCCACCCCTTTCGGGATGCTCATAGTCTAAGCCTTACTTCCTGCTCAGATTAGTAATAATAGCTTTTCACATTCCTTGAACCTTTAACATATTTCAGGCATCACACTTTTTTAAACTCAACCACTGCATGAATAAGGTTCCGTAATAAACTTCCTCATTTTACTGATTTGAGAAATTTATAAGGCACAGAAAGGAGGGGCAAGGTGCGATGTTTACACGGATGGCAGGTAGCCGAGCCAGAACTCAAACCCCAGAACTGTGGATCTGGAATTTGGCCCTTAATCCATTAAGCAACATCGGGACCACGCATGCGCAGACACGCCCTATGAACGCCACGTCCTAGCCAAATCGCACCCCGGAAGTCGCTCCTCCTTTCCCCTTCGAATGGCGCGTGGTGACGGGCTCCGAACGTCTCGCCCACCAATCTGAAGGCTTGGCCCCCGACTTTAAACGCCCCACCCACCACGTGGACTATTCTGAAGGCCCCGCCCCTCTCGCTGTCACTCACCGCAAGTCCCGCTGCAGCACGTCACTGATGAAGGCCTCATAGCGCAGAACTTTCTCTCCCGTGGCCTCAACCACCCGCCCTTTAGGGGGCGTCTCCATTATGGGCTCCTGGGGAATGAGCAGGGGGAAGACCACGTTGACCACTTCAGTATGGACTCATGCAGGTCATCTCCACCCTCTCAACGTTGGGAAATGGGCACGTTCGGGTCCTGCTGGGAGTTCCGCCTTCTGCCCTTCCCAACTCTAGGACTCGGCCACCCAGGGATACCAAAATGCGGCCCTTACCTGAGGGCCGCCGGCGATAAGAACGGGTTGGTATAACCGCGGCTTCCGGGTGGCGCGGGTGAATGACGTATAACAAGCGCGCTGACCAACCAAATAAGCAGGTGGGGAGGGGCGGTCCTGAAAGGAAGTAAGACCCGCCAAGGGGAAAAAGAGAAGGTCAGGGCTTTACTGAATCAAAGGAGATCAGGTAGGACTGTAGGGCGTGGGAGCAGAGATCCTTTGGCAATGAACTAGCCTATTGGAAACTGCACAAGCAGCGCGTGGAGCCTGTGGGGACTGTTCGCGGCTTTTGTGGATTTGGCGGTTTCCAGGGGAGGTAGAACGCACAGGTGGAGGTAGAGCTAGGGAATGAAGCGTTTAGTATTTAAAAGGCAGAGCCTGGGAGGCGGACAGGCAAGTCACATCTTGACTTCACCCGAGAGGTTCGCGTTTCACTCCCGGTGATGGGAACGAGTATGAGCATTTAAAAACTTTTTAATGGAGACGCATTTTTCTAGAATTCCTCTTTGAGGATTGCAGCTCTGTGGCCCACAGTCTATGACTGGAGCTAAGCAGAGATTGGCAATACTATGTGTAAGCATCTCATTTTATTAGTCAAATGGAGGGTCCCTGAGTCGTTTGCAAAAGATCTGCTATTTTGTACTTAGGAATAATCCCATGTGTTTAATTAAATGGGCAAGCTTTTTCTTTGTATGCACTCAAGTGATTGAATGCCTGTATTTTGCATCTTTAGCATCTAACCCAGCAAGTCCTGGCCTGAGCCCAGAGGAGAATTCAGATGCTCGCACCCCCAAATGCTATTCCCATATCTAGAGCCTAGAGTCCTTACCCTTACTTGTGAAGTCTTCCCAAGTAATTTGCGTGTAAAAGTTCGGTTGTCGTTTCCAAATTCTCAAACCTGTTTGTTAAGCTTTTCTTTGCCTTCAGGAAAAAGTGACTGTAAAAGGAACATTGAGTTTTTTTTTTGTTTGTTTTGTTTTGTTTTGTTTTGACATGAGAGTTCTTTTAAAAGTTTGTGGGAAAATAGAATTAAACCGTGGTTAAGTCCCTGCTTGGAACACTAGCATCACATGTTGGTGGAGTGCCTGGTTCGAGTCCCAGCTCCTTCACTTTGGATCCAGGTTTCTGATAATGCATACCCTGGGAGGCAGCAGATGATGACTGACATAGTTGGGTCCCGTAAAATATGTAAGAGACTCAGATGAAGTTCTGGACTCCTTATTTCAGCCTGGCCTAGTCCTTGCTTTTGCCAGCATTTGGGGAGTATCCCAGAGGATAGAAGATCACTCTGTCTGACTTTCAAATAAAATGAAAATAAATAAATAACGTAAAGAAAAATAAGATTGGTTTGGTTCAAAATTTTTGAAATCCATTTATAATTTCTTCATAGTGTGCAATTTCCATGAACTTTTTGAAGACTCCGTGTATGCATGGCTTTCAAAAGTTTTTCGCACCAGAATAAATTTACATTTTAATTCGTTTCCATAAACTTTCTGAAGTACCCTCATACTTTTTTTTTAAATTTCACGTTATAGTTAAAATTACATTTAGTGTGATTTTTTTTTTAATTTATCTATTCAAAAGGCAGAGTGACAGAGAGAGAAAGGGATCTTCCATTCGCTGGTTCACTCCCCAAATGATAACAGCAGCTGGGGCCCAGCCAGGCCAAAGCCAGGAACTAGGAATTTCATCTGCATCTCCCATGTGGGTAGTAGGGACCCAAGTACTAGGGACATCCTCCATTGCTTTCCCAGGTGCATTGGCAGGGAGCTGGATCGGAAGCAGAGCAGCCAGAATTCAAACCAGCACTCTATATGGGATGCTGGCATCACAGGCTTCACAGGTGGCAGCCTGCTGTGCCACAATGCTATTTATTGTGATTTAAACAAACACTAAGTAGTTAGACAAAGATTCAGTTAAGGTTAATCTCTACCACTTTCTTGTGAAAAAGATAAAGCATTTGTTACCTTTATTTGGCAGCAGGAACACATATCGTTCTGATGGGCTGAGGATGGGTCTGGGCAGGCCTATTAATTTATATTTCACAAAAAACACTTTTCTGTTTTTAAAAATAATCACTTTTCTATTTTAAAAATCTGTTTGTTTGCTTTATTGGAAAGGCAGATTGACAGAGAAAGAATGAGAGAGCGAGATCTTCCATCCACTGGTTCACTTCCCAAATGTCCTCAACTGTGAGGGCTAGGCCAGGCTGAATCCTGGAGCCAAGAACCCTATCTAGATCTTCCATGTGGGCTGCTTGCCCAATTACTTGGGCCATCACCTGCCAACTCCTAGGCACATTAGCAGGAAGCTAGATGGGAAGCATAGTAGCTGGGACTTGAACTGACACTCCAGTATAAGATGCTGGTGTCCCAAGCGGCAGCTTAACATGCTGCACCACAGTGCTAGCCCCAGCAACATCAACCCCCATTTTTTAAAAAAAATATATGTCCTGGACTGGCATTGTATAGTGGCTAAAGCCAACTCCTACAACACTGGTATCCCATATGGGCACCAGTTCAAGTCCCAGCTGCTCCACTTCCTATCCAGCTCCCTGCTGATGGCCTGGGAAAGCAGCAGAGGATGACCCAGGTGCCACCCATATGGGAGACCCAGAAGAAGCTCCTGGCTCCTGGCTTCAGCCTAGCCCAGCCCTGGATATTACAGACATCTGGGAGGTAAACCAGCAGATGGAAGATCCCTCTCTCTCTCTGCCTTTCAAATGAATAAATAAATCTTAAAAGAAAAATGTTGCCAATTTTGTTTTTACATTTCGTTTTTATAAAGAATTTTATTTATTTGAAAGACAGAGTTACAGAGAGAGGTAGAGCCAGAGAGAGAGGTCTGCCATTCTGCTGGTTCACTCCCCAAATGACTGCATTGGCCAAAGTTGAGCTGATCTAAAGCCAGAAGCCAGGAGCTTCTTCTGGGTCTCCCACGTGGATGCAGGGGCCCAAGGACTTGGGCCATCTTCTACTGCTTTCCCAGGCCATAGCAGAGAGCAGGATTGGAAGTGGAGCAGCCAGGACTCAAGCCCAGTGCCCATATGGGATGCAGGCTGGCTTTAACCCACTGTGCCACAGTGCCAGCCCCTACATTTCTAATCTATAGAAAAGTTGACAGTGAACACACATAGAGCCTTCACTGAGGTTTACTAGTTGTGAATTGTTGGGGAATAGTTCGTGGCGGCATTGCTAGGCAGAGGTTTTTAGTTTCAGTTTTGACCGGGGGCTTTCCAACGGGCAGGGCTCTCCAGAGGTGGAGGGATTGAGGTCGCAGTAAACAACAAGATGGCGCCAGGACCCCTGCAGTGAGTCTGCCTGCCTGCCTGCTGCGTGACACCTCACCTGATTGGCCGAAGGACGCGTGCCCTTCACGTGAACAGAGACCGGATTGGTGTGCCTGATGCATGGACTCTAGCTTGCTTCTGATTGGTCACATTTTGTATATAAGCCGTGGGTATAAGGAGGAAGCTCTCTCTCCTCTCCTTTCCTCCTCCCTCTCTACCTCTGTCACATCTACTTTCTCTAATAAAAAGTCTACTGAAGACCGATAAGTGCCGTTCGTTCTTTTCTCATTCTTTTCTCGCCCGAGAAACCGTCGTCGCAGGCCCTGGGTTGAGTCTGCTGGCCAGACTCCCCGAGACGCTCACGGCAAGTGGTGCCGTGTCTCGGATTCCTCAGCGAGGGACAAGTGGCAGAGAAGGTAAGAAAACTTAAAACGTACATATACGGAAATCTAGGGGATAAAGCCTAGGACCACCGCGGTTTTGAGTAAGCAAATCAGGTTGCAACCATGGGAAATACACCCTCAGTTGCCAAAATGCGGCTGCTCTTCAACCGATTGTTGAGAGCGACAGGGACTCCCGGCAAAGCTGCAACTGTCTGCTCTTTCACCAGAGCAGTGGTGAAAGTTTTGCCGTGGTTCATAGAAGGAGGGGATTTATCAAGGGAGAACTGGCGCACGGTAGGAAGGGAACTGCATGCCGCTAAAGTTGAAGAAACGGTCTTACGGATGTGGTACTTGGTTGATAACGCTTTGGCTACAGACTCAGAAACCATAGGGCAATTGCTGGATGAAGGTTTAAAAATTTTAGAAAAGATAGGCAAGGATTCCAAGGATAGCAGCAGCAAAGATTTGGAGGAGGAAAGTGGCGCTGGTGGAGGGATGCCAAGTAAGAAGAGCATCCCTCCCTCTGATATCTCCCCACCACTTTATCCTCCACTGCCTTCCGTCCCACCTTACCCTGAGGATTCTCCCCACTGTTGCTGCCTTGCTAGCAGTGCCCCACAGTGGAGCCCCGTTGTACTCGGTTCGGGGAGGACGGCAGTGAAGGAAAAGGGAAGGGCCATGACTCCCGTTGACCCAGAGGAGGAGGAGCGAGACAGCCCTGTCGGCAGGGGAATCCAATCCCACCGAGGGCCGATTCCGGATTGGTCACAATTCTATAAACCACAACAGATATTCCCGGTATTCATAGATCAACAGGGCAATAGAGGTTGGACACCGGTGGACTTTAAACTTCTTAAGGAATTGCAGCAAGCAGTACAACTTTATGGGACCCATGCAAATTTTACTAAGGCAGTCCTTGAAGGCATGGGATCGGGAGGCCTTATAGTGGAAGATTGGAGAAACATAGTCAAGGCAGTTTTGTCAGGGGGTGACTCTCTTCTATGGGCCGCAGCTTATGGGGAGCTAGCAAAAAAACAGGCACTGGCCAATAGGGCCAACAGGCAACCCGCTTGGAATGAGGATATGTGTCGCTCCCCCTCTTCGTGGAGGAACGACACTAAGCCCTGCCTAGGCTTCATATCCGAGTCACGGCACCATTATGTCACTCCCCCTCTTCGCGGAGGAACGACACAGGACCCTGCGCTGTTCTTTTGTCTGCTCGGCCCTCCCCGGGTTTGCTGCTGGTTCTTCCCGGGTTGGCTGCTGGTCCTTCCCAGGTTGGCTACCGTCCCCTCCACCTCCGTGGAAGGGCGGTTCCCCCTGCCACATTCCCCACTTCCGCGGGGGAGCGGCACACCGCCGGCCGGCTCTCTTGGGGGCTGCACAGGTGTTCCTCTTAGATGTTCCCCTTAGATGTTCCTGGTGCATGCCGTCTCTCTCCTCCTTTATAGTCCTCTTCCACCAATCCCAACTCTGCTACCCACACGCCGAGTACGCTGCTCTCCTCCAATCAGGAGCAGGTCCCACAGTTTATTGGTTGAACTGGAGGCAGCTGTGTAGAAGCTGTTTCCCTTCTCAGCGCCATATTGTGGGAAAGCAGATGCATAGAATAAGTCTTAATTCCAGTAACTTAGTCTAGTCCGAGTTGCTCCCCACAGATATGTTAACTGGGAATGGAGCCTTTGACACAGAGGACGCGCAAGCGTGGTGCCCAAACGAAGTACTGATGCAAGTTCGAGACATGGCTCTTCGGGCTTGGAAGGTGGTCCCAAAAAAGGGGGAAATTAAACACAGTCTTACGAAAATAATCCAAGGTCCCAATGAACCATATGCAGACTTTATTAACAGACTGTTTGAAGCTGCGGGCAATTTGTTTGAGTCGGTGGATGAAGCCGCCCCATTGTTAAGGAGATTGGCCTATGAGCAAGCTAATAAAACGTGCTGTACAGCACTCAGACTTTGGCAACATAAAGACATTCCCACTTTCATAAAAATATGTTGGGATGTGATGGATGATATTGCGCCCAGAGCCCATGCTGCCATGGCTATGGCAAAAACTATACGAGGTAATAGCTGTAAATGTTTCAGCTGCGGCAAAGAGGGCCACTTAAAAAAGGATTGCAGGGAAACTAGGACACAGGGTCGGCAACCAGGACTATGCCCCAGGTGTGGAAAAGGAAACCACTGGGCCAATGAATGCTACTCAAAAATGGACAAAGCAGGCAATCCCTTAGAACAAAAAACAAACAAATGCTCTCAGTCGCCAAAAAATGGGAACTGGGCCCCAGTGCCCCGGGGCCCCAAACAACAGTGGGTGCAAAAGACTCGGAAAACAACAACCAACAGGTATATCCTGTTTCAAGCTCCGAGCCACAACTGCCTCAATATTAACCCCCTCAATGGGAACGCAGGCAGTGGAGGTAGAGCCGACCACAGGACAAGTCCCCTTGCAAGGTGTAGCGCTCGTCATTGGCAAAGCCACCAATTCACTTAAAGGGCTCCAGATTGTCCCAGGATGACTGACTTTCCTGCAAGAGAAATGAAAAGTGTTCTTACAGACCACGAGCCAGGCTGCGCTAATCGAGCCAGGGCAGCCTCTTGCTCAAGCACTCCATTGTCCTACCATTGCAGACCATAGGGGGAAGCAGGGAATTCACCTTGTGGCCTTAACTATGACATTGGATAATCGACCTATTTGGGCCTTAACAATTAAAGGAAAGACTATTAGGGGATTATTAGATACTGGGGCCGATGTGAGCATTAATGCACGAAAGGATTGGCCCTCCTCCTGGCCCCTGCAGGAGTCAGACAATACACTTGTAGGATTAGGAATGACGGAGGCACCACCCAGGAGTGCAGAAGTCCTAGAATGGCAGGATGAAGAACAACATAAGAGACAGTTTCAACCATACGTATGTAACCTCCCCATCACGCTGTGGGGGAGAGAAGTACTGGTACAATTAGGACTCACACTCACAGATGGTAACAGTAAAGCTGGCGTGGGCTGGCAAATGATGGCAAAATGGGATACAAACAAGGAGGCTTAGGTAAACATGGACAAGGCATAGTTGAGCCTGTCAAAGTGAAACAAAGGAAAGACAGGTCAGGACTGGGTTTTCAAAAGGGGCCACTGAACAGCAGCCAATTCCCTTAACATGGCTTACGGACACCCCAGTGTGGATTCCGCAGTGGCCCCTACCTTCTCCTAAGTTGGCTGCTGTTAAACAATTGGTTAAAGAACAATTAGAGGCAGGACATTTGAGGTCCACCTCACCATGGAACACACCCATCTTTATAATAAAAAAGAAATCTGGTAAATACCGTCTTCTTTATGATCTCAGAGCCATTAATCGGCAGATGCAGCCTATGGGAGCCCTGCAACCAGGCCTCCCAGTGCCAACTATGATACCTCAAAACTGGAAAGTGCTAGTAATAGACCTAAAAGATTGCTTCTTTTCCATTCCATTTCACCCACAAGACACCCGATGCTTTGCCTTTACAATTCCCGCTGAAAATCATGCAGCCCCCAACGAATGTTATGAGTGGAGAGTCTTGCCACAAGGCATGACAAATAGTCCTACTCTATGTCAATTATATGTGGCACAGGCCATCTTGCCAGTAAGACAACAATTTCCTGAGATTAAAGTGCTACATTATATGGATGATATCCTCCTTGCCACTCAGGACGACCACACCATTCTGGCGGCATTTACTGCCTTGCAAAAACAACTCACTAATAATGGTCTACAAATAGCTCCAGAAAAAATTTAATCTCAAACTGTTGTACAGTACTTGGGCCTAAAAGTAACCCCCACTAAGGTCATGCCTCTTGATTTTAATATTTCAACACATAAAAACACTCAATGATCTCCAAGGGCTCTGTGGACACTTAAATTGGATACGACCTTACTGTAAATTAACCACTGAAGAGATGCAACCTCTATTTCGACTTCTAGAAGGGGATTCTAATCTTAATTCTCCCAGGCAATTGACCCCTCAGGCAAAAGAGGTGATCTTCTTGTTCGAACAAAGACTCAAAACCACTGCCATGCAGCGTTGTGACCCCGCCCAAGAAATTCAAATTTTGATTTTCATAGAGTTTCACTACCCATATGCCCTACTCTGGCAAGGATGGCCTCTCTTGTTCATATATCCTCATAATCATTTACCAAAAGTAATACTCCCATATGGAGAAGCATTGGGAAACCTGGCTATACAGACTGCCAACAAGGCTTTAGAACTTTCAGGACGTGTGCCACACTGATGTGTGACACCATTCGACTCTCAAGTAATTAGGGAATGGGGCAAGGAAGTTTGGCAATGGGCTCATATGATGGCACACTTAAATATAGAAATTGATAATCATTATCCCAGTCATCCCTTTATTTCATTCTGTAAAAATGTACCTGTACATTACTTCAAAAGGGTGTATAACAACCCTATTGCAAATGCCCCAATAGCCTTTACTGATGGTGCAAAAGGGGGCACCGGAGCCGTGGTAGTCAGTGCTCAATGTCATTTCGTACTTACTATGTCTCCATCCCCTCAGCATGCGGAACTAGCCATAGTATCAAAAATATTGCTTCTCTACACACAACCTATTAATATCCTATCCGACAGTGCCTATGTAGTTAATGCTGTCAAACTAATGTTGTCCCCTGTTATATTATCCTGCCATTCCACTGTTTTCCCTTATCTAGACGCTGTTCGTCAGGCTATATACACCCGAGTCACTCCTCTATTTATAGGGCATATTAGAACTCATTCTCAGCTACCTGGTCCCCTAGCCTTAGGCAATCACTTAGCCGATCAATATTCTCGCTTCCAACTTGCATGCTCAGCCCTAGAATTAGCAAGAGAGTTTCACCAAAAATGGCCTGTAAATATCCTAACCCTCAGCAAAAGGTTTAACATTCAACTTGCCAAGGCCAAAGACATTGTCCGTACCTGTGAGCAATGCATGATACATATTCCTCTGCCTGCACCTACAGGGGCTAACCCCAGAGGATTGTATCCCTGTCACATTTGGCAAATGGACGTCACTCACATACTTTCATTTGGCAGAGTTAATTGTGTTCATGTCACTGTGGACACATACTCAGGTGTGGTCATGGCTTCGGCCATGGCCAAAGAATCCACCACTTGTGTCGTTCAACATTGTTTACAATGTTTTGCCACCTGGGGAACCCCACAAGTCATTAAAACAGACAATGGTCCCGCTTACACCTCTGCAAAATTTTGAGATTTCTTAATACAATTCGGCATCCAACATATAACTGGAATTCCCTATAATCCACAGGGTCAAGGCATAGTAGAATGTACCAATCAGTATCTAAAACTTATCATTAATAAACAAAAAGGGGTAGTAGGAGTATTATCCTCCTCACCCAAAGATATCTTGAACACAGCCCTATACACCATAAATTTTTTAAATCAGAAATCGGATGGCACCACTCCAGCTGAACGGCATGCACGTTCCGCTGAGAAGCCAAGTAAAGAATGGGTGATGTGGAAGGATCCACAGGATAATCAATGGAAAGGCCCGTTCCCAATATTACGACGGGTGCAAGGCGCAGTTTGTTTTCTCCCACAGGACGCGACACGTCCAGTGTGGACCCCGGAAAGAAGGACAAGGAGATTAGACAAGCCATCGAAGGACGATGCTTACCATCTGGAACAGGACGAGGAGATCGCTGACGCACCACATCCTCCTGAAGATCCTCCTATCCACCGCAACCAGCAGCTCTGATGAGGGCAACCCCTACTAGGGGCTCCTTTGGGCGCTCCCTTTTCCTCTCCCTTTATCTAACTCTTCCAAGATCCTCCCCTTAATGTACTTAGCCAATGTTACTCTTGGTCAGCGCTACAATGTTCCGGCTGCTGACCCGGTAGCTTCGCCTAGCTCTGCTTAAGCTGGCCTGAATCTCACCTTATCTCTAGCCGGATCTCTTTCAGATAAGCAAGGACGGTATGGATGAGTGTGGGTTTAATCACACCCACCCTTCACCATGCATTGTTTTACTCCCTTTTGTTCTCAGCGATTTTGTGAATGTTTCCCACTCCAACTCTTCATATCAGAATAATTCCGGCAACGTGGCCTCTTTCTCCTCTAATAGCATTCCACTGTGTTGTCTCCACTGCACTTCTAACAAGCCTTTACCTATTGTAGACCTCATCCAGCATTGTAAATCCCCAGTCAACCCTGTACGCCCCGCTTTCTCATCTTGCTTATCTAGCACGGTTCACGTGCAGTTAGGTCATGGATTCTTTCTCACTCACCATGCATTATTCGGGGGCTGGACAGCCCTCAATAATTCAGTCATTACCCGCTTTACTACTACAAATGTGACCTGTTCCAACCCTCATTCCAATAACACCCACATACAGCCGCTCAGTAACAGCATACAGGCTTGGTCCAACCAAAATATGTTTGAAACCGATGAGGATGGTAGTGTGTGGGACCCATTTGTTATGTGTAATGCTGCTGGAGTGTGGGGAGCAACTTGGACTAGACTGTTACTGGAATTAAGACTTATTCTATGCATCTGCTCTCCCACAATATGGCGCTGAGAAGGGAGAAACAGCTTCTACACAGCTGCCTCCAGTTCAACCAATAAACTGTAGGACCTGCTCCTGATTGGAGGAGAGCAGCGTACTCGGCGTGTGGGTAGCAGAGTTGGGATTGGTGGAAGAGGACTATAAAGGAGGAGAGAGACAACATGCACCAGGAACATCTAAGAGGAACATCTATCTGAAGGAACACCTGTGCAGCCCCCGAGAGAGCCAGCCGGCGGTGTGCCGCTCCCCCGTGGAAGTGGGGAAAGTGGCAGGGGGAACCGCCCTTCCACGGAGGTGGAAGGGACGGTAGCCAACCCGGGAAGAACCAGCAGCAAACCCGGGGAGGGCCAAGCAGACAAAAGAACAGCGCAGGGTCCTGTGTCGTTCCTCCACAAAGAGGGGGAGCGACATAATGGTGCCGTGACTCAGATATGAAGCCTAGGCAGGGTTTAGTGTCATTCCTCCACGAAGAGGGGGAGCGACATAATGGTGCCGTTACTCAGGTAGGAAACCTAGGAGGGAAGAAGTGGGAAAATACCAGAGAGAGAGACTAGCAAAGAGCCTAGGGAAAAGCCTGACGGAAAAGGTGCCAGAAGAAGCTATTGAAAGCCTAGGCATAGACTCGTATACGGACTGTGGGAAAGAAGTTAGGATTTAAAGTGAAAGCAAGAAGAAACTTAGACTCAGATACGGACTGCAGGTTGAAAGTGAAAGTGAAACCTAGAAGAAACTTAGACTCGGATACGGACTGTGGGGAGAAGCCAGGAAAAATGAGAGGGGAATATTGTTGGAAGAAAAGTTAGGGAAACATACCAGGTAGAGAAAAATATGTTAGGGAGGATGAAGCCGTGGGGGCAGGCCGAGGCAGAGACGTAAGCTATCTTGGGATTGTCAAGTCAGCCCGGGGAACAAAAGGCGAAAATCTAAAAAACCAGAGGCGGAGACGTGGGCCAGGTTGGATTTCGCCAGGTTAGCAGGGGGAACTTGGACTGAATGCTGGTGGTGGAAACGTGAGCTGGGCTGTGTGATTCGCGGAAGCCGCCGCATGCAGAGAGAGCACGGGGCGTGAATAGATAGGGAACGCAGGTCTAGCGCGAAGGCTGTGGTGCGGGCACGAAGGCCGTGGAGACCACGGAGCGTGTGAAGCCGAGCCGCGCAGAGCCGGGAACCCGCCGCAGGGCGGGCGCCGGGAAGCCGCGCAGATGAGAGAAGCGCGGCTGAAGCGGCGCAGAGCCGGGAACCCTCCGCGGGGCGAGGCGCTGAGAAGCAGTCTTGGGGCGGGCGCCGGGATGCCACAGGGATAAGAGAAACAGAAGTTTAGAAGTAAAATAGGAGAAATAGGAATGCCCGGAGATAGAGAAATAGAGAAAAATAAGGCCTCCCCACAACACGCACGGCAATGAGAGAGCTTGGATTCAGTCTGCCTGATTAGTAAGACGATAAGCACCTGTGGGCGGCTGCAGGTCACCGAAGACAGGCACGTTATCAACACCAATAAGTCTCCCCACAAGACGGCAATGAGAAGGCTTGGATTCAGTTTGCCTGATTGCTAGGGCTTGTAAGCACCTGCAGGCAGTTCTAGCAGAGCAGAGCATGCGCTGCAGGGCACCGAACTCAGGCACGCATCAGCGCCTAAAAACCTCCTCACAACATGGCGAAGAGAGGACCCGGATTCGGTTTGCCTGATTGATATGGCTTGTAAGCACCTGTGGGCAACTCCAGCAAGCAGAGCAGAGTGTGTGCCACGGGGCACCGAAGACAGGCGCGTATCAACACCAAAAATAAAAAGAAAGGGGGATCTGTGGGGAGCAACTCGGACTAGACTGTTACTGGAATTAAGACTTATTCTATGCATCTGCTCTCCCACAATATGGCGCTGAGAAGGGAGAAACAGCTTCTACACAGCTGCCTCCAGTTCAACCAATAAACTGTAGGACCTGCTCCTGATTGGAGGAGAGCAGCGTACTCGGCGTGTGGGTAGCAGAGTTGGGATTGGTGGAAGAGGACTATAAAGGAGGAGAGAGACAACATGCACCAGGAACATCTGAGGGAACACCTGTGCAGCCCCCGAGAGAGCCAGCCGGCGGTGTGCCGCTCCCCTGCGGAAGTGGGGAAAGTGGCCAGGGGGAACCGCCCTTCCACCTCCATGGAAGGGACGGTAGCCAACCCGGGAAGAACCAGCAGCAAACCCGGGGAGGGCCAAGCAGACAAAAGAACAGCGCAGGGTCCTGTGTCGTTCCTCCACAAAGACGGGGAGCGACACTGGAGCTTGTACAGATATCACACCCTTACTTTTCCTTAAAGGATTCCATTGGGCTAACGGCACCTTCTGCGGCTCGTACTACCAACCTGCTAACCTAACGTTAAAGTACACATCCCATAAAGCTGAAGGCAGGGTCAATTCTCCTGTGTGCCTGAGCACGCCTTTT